TTAACAAAATATCTTCATATTGTGAACCTCTCTCTGCTCATTCTACAAATATCTGGAGTATATATATTTCTACCCATATACAGATAATTCAAGACTGAATGACCTCGATCTGCTCATCATTAGGTTTGCATTGAAGTTGTGAAGAAGTATTGGTGAATAGGACAATGCATTGTAATCGAGCGTTTATAGTGCACCATACAACACATTTTAAGACCACTGTGGCATGAGGCCAGAATGCAAGACACCTGTTTCAAAGTCCGATAAAGTACCACGGCGCTATCTCAATAAAGAGGAACAGAAATATCTACAAGTGAGCGACTCATAATCCTGCCTGCAAGACTATGAACAACAATTGTCAGATGCAATATATGTGAAACCAAACACCATTTATCATCAATCATTATGCATTGACACCAGGAGGTTATTAGATCTTGTAAACCTCCAACGCGTTCTGGACATCATGCAGACTGTCCTTGTCCCCGTACGCGTCCATCAGCTTTTGATTGTGTCGGATCCGCTCTTCCTCTTGGAGTTGGTAACGAGCTTGTTGGGCTTGAACTTCAGTGAGGTAATTGGCGATGCCGAATCCTGGATCGTGTCAGTGCGTTGGAGAGATGTGCAGGGTAGGACATACCGGCTGCAACGACAGCCATGGCTGGGAGATAGCTGTTATTATGTTAGTGATTATCCATCGATAACTACCCAAAGACATACAATTTTCCTACCCTCCCTACCCTGAAGCTGGGGTAGGCGGGCCGCTTGAAGAATGGTCGTGGGGAATGCGGGGAAGGCGTGGCGAAGGAGGACATTTTAGTATGTCTTGTTTGTGGTGATTCTCGAAGATTGCTCGATGTTGTTGCTGGTGAAGAATCGAGAGGACAGATATGGGATAAAGAGGGTAATATGTCGTTGAGGGGGATTGAGGCAGTGCCCGTGGTGGATAGCCTGATGCTGCGGGAGTGGCGTTACAGTGGCCTGATTATCATATGACCCTATTCCCGAAGAGGAGAAACTGCGGAGGAAAGGAGGAATAAATAATGGGGCTTTTGCGGGGTTCCATTCTGTACCTACAATCGATTCGTGGACGGCCAATCAGCTTGGCTTTAATCCATCATGATATTTAGCGTGTTTGAGGGGAAATTGCGTTTATGCCATTGCGGGTGCGGATCAGTACATAAATGTGGACTTGCTGTAAGGAATGGCATGATTCGACATAGACCATCTGGGATGTATTTATTTATCAATGAACATCGCCCTGCATATTTCATTTGCAATATATAGTTATGTCAATCCATAGGTCGATGGGCGACCTTGACGAAATTGAGCAGACTTTGTCACTTAACTCTCACTTGGGTTCTTTTTGACAGGCATAACAGACGCGATTTTAGCAGTACTAAGCTTGATTTATACTAAGTTTATGGCAGATGCTGTTATAATGACACTGAACAGAACATCCTGGATGATTTTCAAACCCCTCACTATAGGGTAGTATATCCAATGATGGTGGACTGACCTTGGTCAATTCTGGAAAGTTATTGTATGCCTGAGGCATCAACATCAGCGGCGCGTCCAACGCGTCAACACTATTCCCGTCATCTCTGACTTCGAAAGATCTCTCTTCTTGGTCATCATAGATCTGGTCAAGACTATTCTCAGTTTATCTCATACTCAAATCCTGGTCTGTCACATGCGCAACAATGCCATAAGAGCCTTTATTGAAGGTGTGCAAAGGATTTTCGGCATGAACAAAAGTCTGCCTTCGGGCGAGCTGTCTTGCGAGGTGATCAACGGATTGTTGAGCTCCTATTGAACAATGGCTTTGATCCAACCAACCAGGGAAGCTGAGCTTTGCCGCCGGTCGGGGTGCCATGCATATGATACATCTTTTCCTAAACATGTCAGACCATGAGGAGTATCGGTCCTCTCCCGTTTCTCCGTGCAATTCGAAAAGGGCACTATGAGGTGGTTGAGCTTCTAATCAGGAAGGAGCAGATCCAAGCGGTTTCAGCGTGGAGGAGAATATGGAACTTGGGCTTCATTCGCCAATATTCTGCGCTATCAAGCACCGCCAGCCGGCTATCCTGAACCTCTTGATTGAGAAGGGGGAGCATCCGGAGCCGATGTGACAAGCTCGCGGAGGTAAGGAGAGATCTGGAGCGCGTGCCTACTGGATTTCGCCATACTACGCTCCTGTAGTTTGATGCTGGAGCGGTTCAAGCGTGAGTTGATGCTAGGCCTAAATGTTCAAACATCAGATCGAATAGTAGTCGATTCCCGGGTTTCCATGAATGGTCCTCAAGGAGTTTCCGAATCATATACAGCCACGAGCTGACCAGACCAACCGTCGTCACATTGTCACTGACCGAGCCAGGAGCTTTTTCCTGCATTCGCCGATACAAGTCTTCGTCGGTCCACAAATGATAAAGGCATTCTGCGACTCGGTCTGTGTCCCTTACTTTGACAACAAATCCCGTCTCTTTATCAATAACCTGATATGGCAGGCCACCGACGTCAGTAACAATCAGGGGTTTGCCTTTGCGGAGTGCTTCCGAGACCTTGATTTCAAAGCCTTCCCGGGTGGAGAGCTGAAGGACAACTTTTGACTTGGAAAGAACGGCGTTCAGGACCTGGTCAGATGGCTTCGCACGAACAACCGCGATCTTATCGGCGAGACGAGGCATTGCTTTATGAATATGATCCATGGCCATGTCGAACATTTCACTTGCATCTGGATCGTCGACAGACCCATGTCCGCAGATGACTAGTTTCGGGATCTTACTGTCCGGCTTAGCCTGTATCAGGCGAGTGTGGAACTTGTTGTACGAGTCCAAGACGTCGATTATTCCCTTTGAAGGGTCAAACCGGGCGATTTGCACAAAGTACTCGTCAGTTGGGTAATTGATCGTTGGCATTCCTGTCTCGTGGCACCAGTGGTTGAACAACCGGCCATAGTATGCGACATCGGAATCTATCATTTTCTTATTGAGCCCGTCCAACACATCCGTCGAGGCGGGAGAGTGGCCGATCATCGCTTTCGGCACAGTAGGTGGCACAGAGTCTGGAATGGGATGGCTGATAAACACATCGGCATGCTGCGCACGTTGCCATAGCCAGTCCCATGATCTGGCCTGAGGCGTCCCAGGCGTGCACGCCAGATCTACTCGGATCTGGATGTGGCTGCGGAAGATCACCGGCCGGTCTGGTGCCCTTTCCTTCGCAATGGGGATCAGGTCTGGCAGTTGCGGGTCGTCTACCACAACGATATGTGCGCCGCCGTTGGACGGGTGGTCGAGCGGTCCGCCGGGACAGGACCAGGAACGTTCGCTGTTGACGCTTACCCATCGTCGAAGTTCTTCCTCATTCTCTGCGGTCAGATAGTCGTTGGGCTTTGCGACACCTTGGAAGATATTGTGGTTCATCTTTGTGATGCGGAAGACGCCGGACCGCGGTTGCGGCACGTACCACTGCGCGTCCAGGTTCAGGAGCTTGCTCAGTCGAAGAAAGGCATGGCGGATGAGGGCGACTCCGCCTCCCTGAGGCGTTGCACTGAAGAGGGCAACTCGGATTTTCTTCTCCCGAACCTGTGCTGCAAGCCGTTCAAGCGCCATCCATGTCCGCTCGCTGACCGTGCCTTTGTAATCGTCGAGCGTTGCCAGATGCATCATGAATCCAGAGTCCACTTCGACCACACCGCGGAATCCAACTTGTAGGAGTGGTATATTATTCGGGCCGAATAATCTGCTTGCGTTAACGAGATCCACCCTGGCGGTGTCGTCGAATATACCTCACGCATTTCATGGCCAGATACTCCGCCTGCTCATCTGCATCCCGTGTCTCCCATGGAATTTCCTGCGCGTAGCGACCGCCCAGCCCGTCATGCTGCGGCACAACCAGCGGCATCACGTCGAGCTCCAGCCAAAGCCGGGAGGCTAATCGGGGACACATTTCTGTCAACTCCGTCGGAAGACAGGTACCGATGAATTTTTCCGCATGATCTAGGCTATAATTCCGGAGTTGCTCGAGGATAAATTCCGTGATGTTGGCATCGAGGTTCTTCGCAGGGATATGGAATCGATGTTCAAGAAAGTCCAGCGGGTAGACTGCGTCTCGGACGGCGATTACAAGTTGAATACTCTGTTCGTCGACTCTTTTAGCGGTGATGCCAGTGTATCGGATCTAAGTTGTCAGCTCTTCGCGGCATTCGTGACGGGACAACGGGATACCTCTGAAGTAGGACCCGACCAGGCGTCGAGTTTCTGTTCTTCCTGCCATCTCTTTTTCTGGTGCTCTGAGATCCGTCGTTGGAATGTGTGTATGCTACTTGCGTATGCGTACATATTAGATCTATGGTATCTTGAGTAGAGTGAGATGCAGTCAAAGCTATGCCATTTTATTGTCCCCAATATAAGGTTGAGTGTATATCATGTTTACATCATCGTCTAATTAGATCCTATGCCCTGTGGCTACAAACCATGGTTAGGCCATCTGTCCAGCGGGGGAGAAAGCTTGATCTATTGACAGCAGCTGCGATCCATGGTTATTTCAGCCTTGAATAGCCCAGCATTGCCACTATTCTGTGCATTAAGAATCTTGAAAACTCAACTACTACCTATTCTACTGATACAAGAGTATATGATCAAACATTGTGTTCTTATGACATCACAACCATCATTTATTTAGTCATATATCTCGCTAATCAGAAATAGAAAATACCGCTGTAGAAGACAAAAGCCCTCATTAAATAAAATAGGCAGACTTTTAGGTATATCAGAGATAGAGATGATCGACAGTTTATGATGGATTCAAGACAGTGAAACTTACAGAGTTGTTTCTATGTAAAGTAGTTGTAATCAACAGATTATGGCGTTAATGTTATACGACTAGACAAAGCGGGGTATCAGCTACAGCGTACTCCCCCAACACACCACTCACACAATCCCACGCCACCCTCTTAACCTAGTACAGCATCATTCCAATGGTCCCCTGACTATAGACAAAGCATGTCCGGCCTCGAAATCATCGGCATAGCAGCCAGCATCCTCCAGATCGCCGACCTCGGCGCGACAGTTTCGGTCAAACTGTGCACCTTCTACCGCCAGCTCAAATCCGCTGACGAATCGGCGCAGAGCCTCTCGAGCGAGGTCGCGCTCACCTGTAGCATTCTCCGCCAGCTAGGCGAGAATCTGAAGCAGGACGAGCAGACACGACTGTATTCTGCGCAGGCGTTCGAGACGGCACAGGATGTGCTGCGTGAGTGCGAGAAGGTCTTTAGGCGGATTAGCGCGGCGGTTGATGAGTCGCGCGCGGACGCGACGAAGAATGCGATTCAGCGGGCGGCGAGGCGGTTTGGGTTTGTGTTGATGGAGAGGGAGCTGGATGTGTTGAAGGGGAATCTGGAGAGGTTGAAGTCGACGATGTTACTCCTGTTGAATGTGATTATGTATGCGGGGCAGTTGCGGAGGTGAGTATTTTTCGGACTGGAGGTAGTGAATGAACTGACGGTTCTGCAGTCGGGCGGAGTCGTCTGTTCTCCAGGAGCAGAAGGGCCTGATCAAGGTGTTGGTGGAGGAGAAGAAGGCGACCGAGGCGCGACTCGAGGAGTTGAGGCGATTCGACCAATTGGTCAAGGATCTTCAGTCTGCCGATATCAATAACTCTCAGGGATCAGCTGGGCAAGAAGCGCTCCCTCCGTATGAGTCCCTGGAGCAGGAGGGCGCATTACGTGAACTCCGGACATACCACCAGCTCGTTAAGCGGCTACTCCAAGAAGTGGATGCGTGCAGGTCGGGCATTGAGCGGAGCCGGTATTCGAGATTCAGGAACGGAGTGGTCAAGGTGCATGCAGCCGAGGTTGAGGGGTTTCGACGGGCTCACGGCGAGATTGCTACTCGACTATTCGAGGATCCGCTGTTTAGTCTTGCTCCTGAGACGGATGTCGTCGATACACAGAATCAAGAGGACGACAAGACTGAGGAGGCTGAAAGGCCACAACGCAAAGACGCCGTAGCGAAAAGCAGACGAGTTGACGAGTTTACACGCCATAGGAGTTTCCCTCCCGAGTCATATAATAGGAATCGTCTACCTTTACAGCCATCGGGCTTTAACCCTTACGCTGGTCAGATCGAGCGTTCTGCTCCTCCGGTTGACATGATCAATGACAGAACCAACCCCTATCCGCCGGGTGGCAGAGCTTTCTGCGACTACGAAGGAACTATTGAAGGCATCCCTCTGCGTATCGGTCCCAACATGGCTTCTGGTCGTGCTCGGTCGGACGGCCAGTCTAATACCAGAGCAATCGGGCGGCAGATCAACCACATTGCTCGGCAACGACAGGCTCCTCCCGAGGGCGACGTAACGCCATTGGCTGGAGATGAGGTCTATTTTGATGCTATCCCAGTTCCTGCTACGAAGACAGAGCAAGAAGTCAAGGAAGCTGCTGATGCGGTGGACAATTTACTTATGAAATGGACGACTTTGGGGCAGGATGACCTCTTGGCTTGATTAGGGTCTTGTCTTTTCCTGCAAGTCCAAGAGCCAGTTTCCTAGGGTTATTGGCAAAGAAGGCCCTATACGGAATAGACTTGTGCTTAAAGACTTTGCGTGGTATATAGTAGCTCCTGGTTTTCAGGCATAGTAGAAATAATCACGAGGAGACTAGACAAGAAACATCCAGCTGATCATCTGATAATTTCAAACAAAACTAATCAAGTTCATCCCACCTAGAGTTGTACGTCCCTTACTTCTATTCCGACCTCACCAGTGGCCGACAGCCACCAAGCAAACTTGCACCTCAGTTTCGAATCCTCAACAAACCAACCAATAGGTTCTTATGATCATGACCATTCCGCCTGGACTTACCCGCTTCGTCACTCCTCTCATCCCTTGTGGACAGTTCCCAGTGGTCCCGATAAGCCTTACATGCCAAGGCATCGTTTGATTCGATCACAAGATATCCCGCTCGTCGATCATGTGCCCGCAAGTGGTACAAAGAGGTGTCAGTGGTCCATTATACGCCTCATTCTTCATTGATTTTGCTATTTGTGGTTTGGCCGATAAGATAAATATGACGGGGCATTCGGATATGGTTTTCTGTTTTGTTCACCGAATTGCTGAGTATCGTTGATGAAGATGCGGTTGAGATATGTACTTCCTTTTGTAACGGGTTGGATACTACGGAATTGTGAGGGATACGTGGCCCAGCAGGTGCCTTTGAGGGATGATGGGAGGTGTACGAAGACTACCGTGGCTATTTTGTAAGTGTTTATCCTGGTATATCAGCAACCGCTGACGGTAGAAGAGGAGGAGGAGTAACAGGGATTACTGCCGCTGTAAGGTCTACGATCTCGATATGAGATGAAAGTGACTGATCGTAACAGCAAGCGCTGGCAAATGCATCCATTGATGATTTTCTTATCCTCGAGTATAGAGATCGACTTGGAGGTAGACTGCGACATGAAGAGTTTGGAGAAGATGAGAATGGGAACCCGTATGTGGTTGAGCTGGGGGCAAACTGGGTATGCACTCTTAGAACTGTGTGCGTAGATGAGAGTTGACTGGCACAGGTACATGGAGTTGGGAGGCGTGTGCGAGGTATGTATTGTCCAATTCAATAGCCCTACATGCTGACACGCTCAGAGAACCCTATTTGGCAACTGGTGCGTCTCTCCTCCGAATCACGGCAAATATTGACAGCCCCAGGCCAGAAAGCACAACTTGAGTGTCACACATTCCAACTACAGCTCGATACGCACCTACAACGAGACCGGCTTCACCGACTACCGACATCTCCAGCGCGAGTATGCCGCAGCCTACCGCACCGCCTCAAAAGAAGCAGGACGCATCATGACCGAGAACCTGCAGGATCAGACCGCGAGGACTGGCCTCGCGCTGGCTGGCTGGCGACCACGGAAAGATGATTCAGCAGCGCAAGCAGTGGAATGGTGGAATTGGGGTATAACCCTCCCTCACCTCGAGGCCGACGTCACTGATCTAGGTTTTAGACTGGGAATCCGCTCAAACACCCGAAACCAGCTCTTTAGTCTTCGGCCTCGCCAGCGAGAATATCACCTTCCAACAATTCGGATTGCGGAACGAGCTGGTCATCGATCCTCGCGGCTACAGCGCCATCATCAACGGCGAGGCCGCGACATTCCTACATAGCGAGAATGGCGATCCGAGGATGGATCCTCGCGTGCGGCTGCAGACACAGGTCACGGAAATCGAGTACTCGGACAAAGGCGTCACAATCCGCAACAAGGACGGTAGCTGCGTGGAAGCCGCGTACGCCATCTGCACATTCTCCCTTGGTGTTCTGCAGAACGACGCAGTCAGATTCCGCCCTGCACTGCCTGGGTGGAAACAAACCGCCATCCACAAGTACACAATGGGCACGTATACCAAGATCTTCATGCAGTTCGATGAAATGTTCTGGCCGAACGATACACAGTTCTTTTTGTATGCGTCTCCGACGACAAGAGGGTACTTTCCTGTGTTTCAGTCTCTGTCGATGGAGGGTTTCCTCCCCGAGTCGAACATCTTGTTCGTGACGGTCGTGGATACAGAAGCCTATCGGGTTGAGAGGCAATCCGACGCGGAAACTCAGGCTGAGATCCTCGATGTCCTCCGGCAGATGTTCCCTGACAAGCACGTCCCCGAGCCGAAAGCGTTCTTCTACCCGCGCTGGTCGGAAGAGCCGTGGTCGTATGGGAGCTACTCCAACTGGCCGGTTGGTACGACGCTGGAGATTCATCAAAATCTGAGAGCGAATGTACAGCGGCTGTGGTTTGCTGGGGAGGCGACTTCTTCGGCGTATTTTGGATTTGCGCATGGGGCTTGGTACGAGGGGAAGGAAGTAGGAGAGCATGTTGCTGCGCTGCTGCAGGACAAATGTGTTACGTTGCAGGGGCAGAAGGCTTGTGGAGAGAGGAGGCATTACGAGGTGCTGCATGGGACGACGCCCTTGGAGGCATATAACGCGATTAATGGATGGCCAATGAGTAGCGTTGAGTTGTAGATTCACTGCTTTATTTGTTTCAGGGAATATGGTAAATGAGAATGATCTATGACTAATTTGTTTGCATCTGATAGTGAATAAACTGATATTATGTTGAATATTTAGTCCTTCAGCTTCCCTCTTACTGCTTACTTAAGTCATCGCTTCGCAAGCCTATACATGGACTTCTGGATATATTCTCAGGAACATCCTTGAGAAGTCTATAGCTGGACTACACATCCACTGCCTGAGCAATCTTCCTTCTCTCCATGCAGCTAGCATGGAACCACAAGTGACCTTTCGTTCTTCTTTCTCCCCACTTCGACTATACTTGTCTTCTTACTTCCTACCAAGGATGTGATAATGACCATATCGATCCTCCTAGCCTCATTCTTGAGCTGCAACCATGTAAGTAAGTAATCTTGTGGAATCTCCATGATCAATGCTTAATGAAAGTAATACAGTGCGTGTGCAACGTTGCAACATGCAATGACGAAGATAACTGTGCGGTTCTAAAGAATATCCTCTGTCTACTGACCACACTTCAGGTAAGTCTATCAAAGACAAAGCTACATCGTGATCATCTATCGAAGTATGGATACTAATGATGTGGTTTATACAGTTCAAGTCGAAGACGACCACTCCTTCGGTTAATGTCAAGAAGAACAATGACCAGAAGCCTGTCAAGAAAACACACCAGTCCCCATCCCAAAAAGCTAGATCGAAGAAATCGTTTGCCGAGAAGATTGAGGAAAGGAAGGCTGCTTCGGCAGCAAAGAAGGATAAAGCACCTAAAAGGCCCGGGGGTGCTTCCGAATGGAAGCCCCGAAATCGGATGAACGACCCCGTGCCCTTCGTCAGAAGGAGAAAAAGAAAATCCAAAAAAAAAAAACCCCCCATACGTTGAACATGCGAAAGATGGATTCGTCCATCGAAATTTTGGTAAGACTTTCATTGCCACTACGTACATATAGTAGTGAGCCGCGGTCGAAAGAAATTTTTAGGAGTGGACGAGAGAAAGGCTGGTCAGGCAGCAAAGAAGAAATGGACACCACGACCTCACTTTTCCTTTTTGCCTCTTCTTTCTGATGTGATGAACCTGAGCTCCTACATTTGCACAACGGGAAACGCATACATCATGGACGGCTGATAGGTATCCTGATATCATGTACACACCACCCCGAGACGGGCCCTTGGGCCGGGATATCCTGCTCCGCCCCTGTCGAACGTACTATGGAATCTTGCGGTTCTTCTAAAATGCTGAAGTCGCGAGATAAGCACCAAAGTCCAGGTACTGGCCGCGCCGGGAAGTGGTGATCAGTCTTCACCATATAGTCCCATCCCCGCAAGCAAGTCTTGCTCCTTTACGACATATTTGCCTGGCCTCCATTGCTTTCGCGCTCCCACAGGCCATTTGCACGGTGCTGGGATTATCTTGCTTGGGTGCCTTATTGTCTTTCGCAATAGCCCGATTCCACAAGGGGTAGCACCGGGTACTCAGGCAATACGCCTAACACGGCGGGTGCTTTTTGGCCAGTCGGTCAGACCTGGCGCTAGTCCAGGGGATATTCTTCCTCTGGACATAGATAAGCTGCGAGCCACAGCTAAGATTGAAATGGGAGGGATGGGATATAGAAAGCTCCCTTGCATCTCTTTTCTTTCTTTGCGTGCCTCTCACCTTCAGTACCACAGCGACATGCGAGAGGCTTACTTGCTCAGTGAAAGCAGGCTGAGGTTATCCAGCGAGCTACGGAGGATTGTCTCTGATGCATGCTTGGCCAGCAAGCCGCTGAGGAAACCTCTCAGATACTCAGGGAGCTCCGCAACTCCACTACAGACGAGATCGATCGGATGGCGTGCCCTCCTCTTTGAATCAGGCTTGATATCGACACGGACCACAGTTTTCATATCAGTATCAGTTACATCGCTTCGTTGCACCGCGCCTTCAAGTTTGACCGGTTCCTTTTGCCCTTTATTTTATCTTTACCGCCGCCGCTTCCACTGCTTTGTCGTTTCCTTCATCCATATCTATCAGCGGGTCAGGGACGACTTGTGTCGGCACCCCCCGGTTAATTGTCAGGCAGCAGATTATAGCCGACAATCTACTCCTGTATCTTAGAATCACATTTGTACTTAGTGATTTGGGCCACTTTAGCTGAATCAAATCGAAGGATTACGATCACCCCGTTTGATCTCCATCCTAGTTTAATCGATTGATTCCATCGATCATATCTGACCCCTGGTCATCTCAACGTTTTCATCTGTTGCGCTGGGCGTTGAGGACCCGGGTGACCTCGGCCTTCACCCGGCTGAAGCCGTGGCAGGTCACCGGAGCGAGCTGGATGCTCCGGCAGCAGCGAAGCCCCGTGGCCGGGGGCATCCTGCCCGATGCATGTGGAACCGGCAAGACGACCACAACGATCACGATGCTCTGGTAGGCTTCGCTCGCTACGGAGAGAGATCCCTCGCACACGCATCGCTCGACATTGACTCTGTGTCCCAGCGCGCTCATCGATACGCGGCTAGCGGAGCTCAGGGCGCAGAGGGACGTTGAGCGCATAACGGCGCGCATGACACCGCGGGGTCCAGACAAGCGCCCATGGGAAGCGTCGTCGAGTGAGTGGCCTGCACGCCGGAAGCGGGCCAAGGCCGCTATTGCACCGATCACCATCAGAGTTCCAGCTACAGGGCTGACTCCCAAATGGCCTGAGGATCAATTGGCGCTTGGGATCTTTGAGGTCCTTGTGACCACCAGTGTCACGTCATGAAAGCCAAGAGACTCATGAGCAGAAGGTCAAACTTGTTGACCCAAAGTGTGTCCATCGGTGGAGCATCATACCCACAACAGACGGGCACTGTCAATTTGCCATTGTTAACCTGCTTCAGGTAGTCTGCTAAAGATGCTAGGGTACACGCAGAATGAATAGGCAGCAGTTACCAGTTTGGGGCATGGTTTTATAAGCTGAGGCTTGCCACATACGAAGCTCCACGAATACTTGCCGTGGGGTTAGCGTGAATGTATCCGAAAAGAGAGTACCAGAGGAGGACCTAGAGAAGTTCCCATGGGGCAAGCCTGCCGCCAGACACTATGATGCCATTAAAGACGGGTATTTCGACGCGGATAATGGCCCGTATACACAGCCTCCGCGCAGGATGCTCGATCAGATCAGATCAAGGAATGGTATTTCCTGCAAGGAGAACCAGAGCGACTGGATGAGGGGCTAAAGAGAGTCCATGCAATCATTGAGTGCGAGGCCCTAATATTGCTGTCAGTAAATTGAAATTGACCAGTTCATGTTCACTGAAAGGTTGAACCGACGTTTAGTATTTAGTACAAGTATCATAATATATTTGAGAATCTCAAATCATGTACTGACCTCGTTAGCCCTGACCAAAGATGAAATAAGCAGCAGTACATATCTCTCGCCTTCCAAATCTGCCTAAGGCATATCGGAGTAACGACATCACCACAGTTTAGATGTCATACTGACCATGGTTCTCGTCGAAACCCTGCCTCGACTGCACTCACTTCATCTCTACATCCCCTCCAGCTCACCATCGACAACTACAAAATGGCCACACCCTTCGACTTCAGTTCCAAGTTCCTCTCTGAACTCCCACCCAACACCCCCGAGCTAGTCGCTCCTGACATCAAAACCATCAAATCCGCCCTGCGCCGCCAACTCGACCAAACCCCCGACATCGACTTCATCATCCTCTCCTCCGTGTCCCCAGACGCCATCAGCCGACTTATCGACGACCCCCGTGCAGGCGGCGACCCCAAGCCCTTACGCATGTTCTACAATGCAGACGTACGCAAACTGATCATCAACCGACCCAAGCTCCCACTGGAAGTTGCAACGGGCTACTTTGCAGACTTTATTGGGTATAGGAGGCTCAAAATGGATCTTCGCAGGGAACTCATCCCGACAGGTTCAGCGACGATGGAGGATGGGCCGTATGCCAAAGAGCCGAATGCTTCGTACGTGGTGGGGCAAACGCTGCAACTGCGACGCAAATGGCCGAGCTACGTTATTGAGACGGGGTTTGAGGATATGCTGGGTCGGCTGCGGCTGCACAAGGAGTGGTGGTTTGGTCAGTCGGACGGACAGGTGCGAGGGGTGTTGATTGTTGGGGTGGGTAGAACGGCGCGGAGGATTGTCATTGAGAACTGGGTGCAGAGGCGTGGTGCTCCGATCAAGGAGCAGGAGGTCAGTATTTCTGGAGATGAGGAAGGGGCAGTTGTTGTTGCTGGGGATGCGCTGAGAATCAAATTTGAGGATCTTTTTTTGCGGCCTGCAAGTGGTGATACAGAAGAAGATTTGGTGTTTCCGCGCGAGGGGTTGGAAGAACTGGCTGTAGTGGTTTGGAGTTATTTTCCTTTTGAATAAGGTGTATACTACATCTGGCAGACCCGAGGTCGCAACAGGAATATGCTGATTGGGCTCAAACGGTATATTCCGATGGTATGTGGACAGATAGCTACTCGAGGTGAGATCAATGGCCAAGGTTCTTAGGAGCAGCAGTCGCGGGGCCTTCAGGGGTAACGTAAGCCTGTTATATGTCAGCATGATCGTCTAAGCAATCAGGTAAGAGCCCTACCTTGGTCATGCCTCCATCTACGACAAAATCGTTTCCATTGACGAAACTGCTCTCGTCGCTGGCAAGGAACACGACCGCATGCGCCTGTTCAATGGCCTCGCCGAACCGGCCTGTCGGGAAGTGGACCTCGCGGCGGTGGCGCTTGGGCTGATCATCACCCAGCCAGTCTTGCAGAAGAGGAGTGCTGCGACGCGGTTAGCAGATACTCGCTATCTAGCGATAAAAGGAGCTTACTTGAGCGGAGCAGGGCAGAGAGCATTGAACCGGAAACCCTCACGAGCATGGACGATCGCCAGCTCCCGGGTCAAGGCAAGAACAGCACCCTTGCTGGCTGTGTAGGCCAGCTGGGGTGTGGCGCTTCCCACCAGAGCAACGACACTCCCCGTGTTGATAATGCTACCCCTGTTCTTCTTGTGACGACGCAGACTCAGCACCGCATGCTTGCAGCCAAACCAGACACCCTTGACGTTGATGTTCTGTGTCAGATCCCAGATCTTCTCCGGTGTATCGACCGCATCGGCGTCATCAGCGTGCATGATGCCCGCATTGTTGAATATGACGTCCGTTCCACCCCAGCTATCCTGAGACTCGACCATGGCCTGTACTTCAGATTCCTTGGAGACATCGCACTTGATTATCTCGACTCGGGGCGCGTTCGGGACGACTTCTTTCACTTTGGCCAAGGCTTTCTCGAGAGCGGGGGCGGAGATATCGGCCATCAGGACATTGGCTCCTTCGCGAGCGAAGAGGATACTGGTTTCGAGACCAATGCCACTGCGGGGGATCAGTATGTCAATTGAGTCATTGGAAGATGACTTACCCTGCGGCACCAGTGATGATGGCATTCTTGCCTTGGAGTCTTCCTCGAGGAGAAGCCATTTTGTCTGTGAAGCTCGATCAGTAACTGCAGGCTGCGCAGAGTGGGGTAATCTATGCATACGACAGGGGTCGTGTGAAAGGGGAAAGGTCTTGCTACCAAACTTTGGAAGATGCCAGGAAACGACAGACGACTTATGGAAGCAATTGAGGACTCAAGACACTGTCGAGGAAAAGACGGTCGGGAGTCGCGGCCCAGCAGGAGAGATTCTGAGACACAGCTCCGACGCGGGGCAGCTGTGGATCGAATTATCTAATTGGCGGATGGCCGGTGACGATAACAGTTGGCGATAATGCGATGCTCGTGTGCAAGAAATATGGCTAACTACTAGGCAGAAAGACATCTTCTATTTGTCTCTTCAATTGTTTTAGTCAAGTGGCTACTCCGTGCTTCCAAAATAACCACCATGAATCGATCATCTACATCGGCTCCTACCTTGTCCCTGTTTGCAATTGGACGGACGTGGTCAACAGACCGTTGATAAGCTCCGATAAGGCAACAGGCTCTAAGGCTCTCCACACTCGACACGGCCCCGTACCTTATCTTCCGCATCTCCAACCCCCTGCCACCACGCTCGTGAGTTCATTCATTCCCTGTCCATAGTGGCGTTTACAGACCCAACTTACCGTCCCAGGAACTCCCCTCAAGTCACCATGTCCGCGTCCACATCCTTCTGCGAGGTGACCCTCGAGAACGTCGCCGAGGTCCTCAAAAATGACACCAAGGTCAAGCTGGCGGGTGTCGACGTGGACGGCCAGCTGCGCGGCAAGCTCATCTCCAAGAAGAAATTCCTCTCCATCGCCGCTGACGGGTTCGGGTTCTGCTCGGTGATCTTTGGCTGGGACATGCACGACCGGACATACTTTAAAGAGCTCGCGATCAGTAATAAGGAGAATGGATACCAGGATCTCGTCGCGGTGCCTGATCTGAGCAGCTTTCGCCGAATCCCCTGGGAGAACAATATTCCGTTCTTTCTTGTCAGCTTTTTTGATCCGGAGACCAGGGAGCCTGTTTGCGCTTGTCCGCGGGGGCTACTAAAGACGGCGCTCAGTAAGGTGGAGGCAGCGGGATACCGTGCTATGGCCGGGGGTAGGTTGTTTGTTCTGCTTGAGTTGCTAGTATGTTTGACATGCTTACTGATTGATATTCAGCGGAGTATGAATTTTATCAGTTCCGCGCACCAGGCGACTACCCCACACCTGAACGGAATGCCTCCGCAACCGCCGCCTTCCTCCAAAAGAACCCTGTCGAAGCGTTGCCTGCGCTGACGGAGGGTATGTTTGGATACAGCCTTACTCGCCCCATACACAATCAGGATTACTACTACGGCATATTTGACGCATGCGAGCAGTTCAACTGCGAGATTGAGGGATGGCACACGGAAAGCGGGCCGGGAGTATTTGAGGCAGTGAGTTGTTCTTGGCCGTTGAGCAGTGCATCGCTGACGCGTTAAGGCATTACAATTCGGGGAAGCCAAGGAAATGGCAGACAAGGCTGGGTTATTCAAGTGAGTCGTTCGGTCGGTGCATACGAAGCTATGGGCGACTGCTGACCTTTCAGATACGTGGTCAAGTCCATCGGCGCCAAACATGGCATCACGCCGGCATTCATGGCAAAACCACGCGAAGGATTGCCTGGCAACAGCGGACACATGCATATCTCGCTAGTTACGGAAGATGGAAAGAATGCTTTCCTCCGCCCGACGCCGGACCCATCCCCGCCCTATCCAGACGTAGCGCACCTCTCCGATCTAGGAAGACACTTCTTGGCAGGTATTCTAGCGGGCCTTCCGGATATCATGCCTCTTTTTGCACCGACGATCAACTCATACAAGCGGCTGGTGGAGAACTTCTGGGCCCCCGTCACCGTATCCTGGGGTCTGGAGCACCGGGCCGCTTCCATCCGGCTGATCACCCCGCCCACAGCCAGCGCGAAAGCAACTCGATTCGAGGTGCGCGTGCCGGGAGCAGACGCGAACCCGCACTTTGTCCTAGCCGCTATCGTCGCATTGGGTTGGCGCGGCGTCGAGAAGAAGCTGGAGATTCCTGTCCCGCCTCTGTCCAAGGGCGAGGACATGGGTGGTACCAGCGACCAGGGCGTTCGACTGGCCAAAACATTGAAGGAAGCGACGGTTGCATTCATGCGCAAGGACAGCGTTGCACGAGAGGTATTTGGCGATACATTCGTGGATCACTTTGGGGGGACGCGAGAACATGAGGTGCACCTGTGGGAGGAAGCAGTGACTGATTGGTTTGTGTTCTCCGCATGCATGACGACTGGGATTATGCTAACACTGTTGACAGGGAGGTGCGACGGTACATTGAGACGGTCTAACGAATTTGATGCGACTACGGTCCAACGGCGGTTGTATATACCCTGGTAGTCTTTTCACCTGATCATGCTGTATCTTCGAGTTGATGTCTCAGCGAGTGTTGTGCATTGATTGATACCATGCGAGAGTACGAAGTATAGCGTGATAGATCCTCTATTTGACTCTTGTCAATCAGTTTGAAACAGAGACCCGTTTGCTCCCGAGTGTATAACAAATCGGAATGTGGCCCGGAAGCTAGAGCTTCTGTCTCGAGCTACAGAATATCACATGCGGTCGACCATCTTCACATGCCACCCTGCCAACACGCAAGATCGCAATGTCGACAATTAGTAGATACAACAGTTTGATATGATAGTCAGTATTCGTTCAAAAAATATATTGTATCCTTGATATTGATATTGCTAAATATGTCTGTAGAATGTTGTTGATTGTGGTATTGATAGTATGTAGTAGTCCTGTTGGAAGAATGACTGAGCGGGACAAGTCGGACATGCAGCCTGAGGCAGCTAAGCCGAAACGCAGATGCAAGGGTTCAGGCCTAGATCATCCTGACGTTGGACCGCGGCTTCAACGGCCAGGGAGATCTCGGGCATGCGGACGAATCCCTCGGTTGATCTATTTGATCTGGCGACGGTACATGATACTTTTCACGATCTGTTAGTCCGTATTCAGTAGATCGATCAGTGCACTGAAATGGCCGAGAAATTGAATCCTCCATAATACTTCAACGAGCAATTGTCTTGAATGCATTCATTGATTATATAGTAATAGTATTAGCAGTGGATGATAAGCAGCCCCTGCCGATATCGATCGGTCTGCGGCGGCCCCCGGGTGAGGGGAAGCCCAAGACACCTCAGGCAGGACGCGGGGAGTCGGCCGAAAGATCAATACACACTAGTAAGATAACTGGTAATTTATATTTCCTTCTCGGGCTTAGTGAGGGAGATGTCCGCGGAAAAGTCATGTGATTCCGTCCGAAAAGGTCAACTTCCGCTCATCCAGCGCTGGTTATGCACGATGACTGGCTGCTGTCCATCAGTGATAGGATGTTTTCCACAGTTTCCCTGAAGGACACTTCCTCATATCATGAGGATAACTTACCGATTACAGCTGGATGACTGGAATGGAAATGGGTGACCTGCAAGGTGTCGGTTCTTCGCCCATGGTTGGTCCAAACTTCCAATGGGCCGCGGCTGTTCATCGTTCTGACGTAGTCTTCGTTCTTACTCCCGAAGGAACCATGCATGCGATCCTTCTATATATTGTTGTCTAGGCGCTGCGCTGTGCTTTGATCTCTTTTCTTCTTCTTCTTGAACTTTATTTGGGTGACTTATCTTCATCCGTCACATCATACTCAGCCATTGATCATTGAAAAGACAATATCAACATGAGCCAAATCGAAGTACAGCTCAAGGATGTCGCCATCCTGGGCGCCGTGAACAACGAGCATCGCAAGATCCTCACCAAGGAAGCTTGCGCTTTCCTTGCCATCCTCCACCGCACCTTCAACCCTACCCGAAAAGCCCTCCTCCAGCGCCGTATCGATCGCCAGGCCGAGATCGACAAGGGCCATCTGCCTGACTTCCTCCCCGAGACCAAGCACATTCGTGAAAATGACGCCTGGAAGGGTGCTCCTCCCGCTCCCGGTCTGATTGACCGTCGCGTGGAGATCACTGGTCCCACGGACCGCAAGATGGTCGTCAATGCCCTGAATGCGGATGTCTGGACATACATGGCAGATTTTGAGGGTGAGCCACTTGCATTTGGCTGCATTTTGAAGATAAACTGACAGGCATAGACTCGAGTGCCCCCACCTGGTCGAACATGATCAACGGCCAAGTCAACTTGTACGATGCTATCCGCCGTCAGGTCGACTTCAAGCAAGGAAACAAGGAGTACAAGCTCCGCACAGACCGCACCCTTCCCACCCTGATCGCTCGTGCTCGAGGCTGGCACCTTGACGAGAAGCACTTTACAGTTGACGGCGAGCCTATCTCCGGCAGCTTGTTCGATTTTGGTCTTTACTTCTTCCACAACGCCAAGGAGCTGGTTGCTCGCGGCTATGGTCCTTACTTCTACCTCCCCAAGATGGAGTCCCACCTCGAGGCCAGACTCTGGAATGACGTCTTCAACCTCGCTCAGGACTACATTGGCATGCCCCGCGGGACCATCCGTGCCACTGTTCTGATTGAGACCATCACTGCTGCTTTTGAGATGGATGAGGTGGGTTCACAATACTCTACGGCTAGCTCAATTGCCACTTTGTACTAACATTCGCAGATTATCTACGAACTGCGTGACCACAGCTCCGGTCTCAACTGCGGCCGCTGGGATTACATCTTCTCCTTCATCAAGAAGTTCCGCAAGCACCCCAACTTTGTCCTTCCCGACCGCTCCGACGTCACCATGACCGTGCCATTTATGGATGCCTATGTGAAGCTGCTCATCAAGACTTGCCACCGCCGTGGTGTCCACGCTATGGTAAGCCTCCTGCGCCTGATCAACAGAGAAGAAGCTGACAATCGTAGGGTGGTATGGCTGCTCAGATCCCTATCAAGGACAACGCCGCCGCCAACGACAAGGCCATGGAGAACGTGCGCGCCGACAAGCTGCGTGAGGTCCGCGCCGGCCACGACGGTACCTGGGTTGCTCACCCCGCTCTCGCCGCCATTGCCTCCGAGGTCTTCAACAAGTACATGCCTACCCCCAACCAGCTGTTCGTCCGCCGGGAAGAGGTCAACATCACCGCCAACGATCTGCTCAACACCAACGTTCCTGGCAAGATCACTGAGGATGGTATCCGCAAGAACTTGAATATTGGTCTTTCCTACATGGAGGGCTGGCTCCGCGGTGTCGGCTGCATCCCGATCAACTACCTGATGGTATGTTTCTTTCACTTTTACTTTCACCTTTCACCTGTGCGACAACTAACCGAGAGTAGGAGGACGCCGCTACCGCCGAAGTGTCCCGGTCTCAACTCTGGCAGTGGGTGCACCACCAGGTCACCAGCTCCGAGGGCAAGAAGATCGACAAGGCCTACGCTCTGCGTCTGCTCCAGGAGCAGGCCGACGCCCTGGCCGCCAAGGCGCCCAAGGGCAACAAGTACCAGCTGGCGGCCCGTTACTTTGCCGGTCAGGTGACGGGTGAGGATTATGCGGACTTCCTTACCAGCCTGTTGTACAATGAGATTTCGACCCCAGGTACTGCGTCGAAATTGTGAGCGTTGGATGCCAGATTGATGATTGATGATTCCCCTGTACTGTACATTTTAGCATCAATACATTGTCAGTAATTCTCCGTTATACCTTGTATAACATGGATAGTACTATAAGACATATGCGAGACGCGTTCTCTTGCTCCTCCCTGGGAGTTGAGTTCCATATTAGATCCGTACCTGGACCAAAAAGACTTCTTTGACGGTATTACAGGAGTGCGAAGGCAGTATTTGTTCTGACTTTGCATTAGACGTCGTAGCAGCAGATGCACGCAAGAAATCCACGTTACTAGCTATCGGACATGATATCTACTTGTAATGATTCCAAGACAATGGACAAGTAATTGACCATTGTCATCCTCAACATAGTCACCAGTCGAGATTCTTTGTATCACAATGCCATTGTGCATGTCTTGATTCTGTCTTTTCATCGATTGTTTTCTTTGTCCTGCATCTCGGGCTGTTCCATTGCCGCAAAATCGACTCAAAGACAATGCCTTGACACGATGTCTCGGTCAATCCGTTCGTAAGACATCTCTTCGCGCAGTTTCTCTACCCATGCCATTCTCGTGTCCCCGATTCTCTTAGTCCGAGTCTAGGACATCCGCCTTCGTCCTTTCAAGTCTTGATGTCTCTCTACAAGACATCGCCGTCTTGTTCGGGATGTATCGAGTGATGAAATGTCTGATATGAACGGATTGTGTCTCATTTCTCTGCTCGCGATGGATATAAATTTCGAGAGAAATCTGCTCAAGATGGACTTTCTTCATCACCATCATCCTTTGGATACCTTGCTCTTCTCTCTTCTCTTGCTCTGTCTGTTCGAAATCCACAACCACAACTTTAGTTGCAACCTCTTGAATTTCCTCAACACTTCTACTTCCTCAATCAAGCACAAGGGTAAGGACAAGACCAAAGGAAAATGTCCCAACAACCCACAAACTACCACGACCCCTCCGCCCCCCGCCTCATCCCCGTCGACGACTGTTCGACCTACGAAACAGGGTACAGACCCAACCTCCCGGGCCAACGCACCTGGTGGGTCTTCTGCCCCGTAACCGGCCACTTCCAGAGCGCCTACTCCCTCCTCGGCGCCATGATCGAGAGCGTCGCCCGCGGCCAGGCCACCCTCGCGCCGGCCTGGGACCGCACCTTTGCCGGTGGCATCTGGTATGATTTTGATTGCAGTGCTGATGTTTTGGATGTGCAGGTGCTGATGGGTGTGGCTGTTAGTGATATGCAGAGACGGATTGAGTCGTATATGTATACGAGTGATGGGCAGGTTGGGTATAAGCCTGCGCTTGGGTTTCGGTAGGTAGGTCTTGACTGTGGTTGCTGACTAGATTGCAGGTCGGTTGAGGAGGATGAGGATGAGGGTGAGGAGGATTGGGAGATTGACCGATAGGTAGGTTTCCTTGCTTTTGCATGCTGGTTGGTTTGGTTTTGTTTGACTTGCTTGAATGCTATCGATACGTTTGGGTTACGACAATGAGCTGAGATTTTCGACAGAATATTCCCATTACTGATCAATATGTAGGCTCGTAGATGTAGAGAAGATATGGAATACCCGGTGAGGAAAACTTCCACCGGCGTTGCAATGCAGAACCCTAATTGATGAAAGATAATGTTGCAACCTAGTACGTTGTAGCTGCCAAGATACCACAGAGACCTCCTCCTCTTCTTATTTTCTGTCGAAGATGTCTATATTCCCAGAACGTAATGAAGCGAGCTGATAAATACCGCTTGAGTCGTTGGAAGCTCCGGTCATCATTCATTGGTAATGAGCGGGCACCTTGAAAGAAGATGATGATCTCGGTATACCTATATACAGAGTGTGCAGCCATAGGTATTAGCTTAACTAAGGTATAATAATATAGTAGTCCAGCGAGATAAGGGATATACTAAGATACAAGATGCATTGCCGTCTACCTACTACATTGGGCAGGCAATGGCTTTAGGAGCATTAGGTCTACGCTTACAAAGACAGGACGAGACTTCGCAACTCTTTCATATGTCGACAGGAGCAACGGTCAGAGTAGTCCAGTCGAAGTTGACTTTATTCCAACGACCACCACCAGTTAGGCCCTCTTGCTTTCCCACCTGGGGACAAACTATCCTAGTCTAGTATACACCAATTCAGTCCACTCATGTCAAGCACCACGAATTTAAATATACTCCCAAGCGGCAGCCCGAGTATCATTCGAAGGCACCGCCAGAGCATCAAAACCAAGACATTCCGCGCCGCCCGTAACGTTCGCAACAGCCGCATACACCTGCCAGTGCGTGGCGGTGCCATTGCTCTTGGGACAAGCGACGAACCCGCTGGCGCCCTGGCCCTTGTACGCGAAGTGTCCGAACGGCGCGCCGGCGGCGTAGACGAACGGACCAGTGGAGGAGCCGGGGGGAATGTAGGCCGAGTGAGGGGTGGTGAAGCGCAGGGCACCGCGGGGGTCGACGTAGATGCGCTGGCCGCCGGGGACGGCGACGTCCTGGGTTTGTCAGTATGTTTTAGGACAAGTGAGCATAGGGAGGGACGTACCAGGGCAGTCTCGCTGGCGAACCGGGTGGTTGTGCCTGGGGGACAGCCGCCGACTTTCTCGACGGATTCAGGGCAGAATGTGGAGGGGGACTCGCCGAGCCAGAAGTTGCCGTGAGCAGCGTTCAGGGGGAGCAAGTGGACGGGCGAGCCGGAGCGAGCGGACATGACGGAGAATTTGCTGGTGCCGTTGCTGCTGCTGTAGCTGTGGCTGTGGCCATTGTTGCGGACGGGGATGCTGACGGCAGAGGCCAGGGTGAGGAGCGAGAAAAGAGCTGGGATCTTCATTTTTCTGCAGTTGTAGATGTACTTGTAGAAGTATTTGTAGAGTAGCTACACAGTAATAGTGAGATGGGGTTGATGGATCAGATATGGAGAGGGAGAGGTTTATATACCTGATCTGCCAGCACTAACCGACGAAAAAACCAGATCTGATCAGCAACCCTCCATTTTTATCATCTCTTATCTATTTCTTTCACGAGAGACAAAAGCCTTGCCCTATGCGGCATGTCGAGCGCCCATCTCCACTTGGCCCTGACGATCCCGGGTCGGTCTCCGTCTGGATTTCTACCGGTGGCTCCGACGGTTAATACCCTTGAAACAGAGGGGCAGCCGATCATGCTACGTCGTTGCCGCACCCTTGCTCATTCTCTTACACGGCACTTCTTTGGCAGGGATGCCGTACGGAGAAGAAAAATTGATCCAGCAATGAATGGCCGATGATGCCGATGATCGACGGTTGCTCCACTCCGTGTCTCGGGTTGAGTACCGTTCTGGTCAAATGGAATAGCTTCACGTTCTGCTGCTCCTGTCATTGGCCAAGGGTCAGTAATAGCCCCTCAGGGTCCAGTCCACAGCCTTGTGCTGCCGAAAACTCACCTCGAGCTGGAAGATTCGGCGCAGCCACAGATCCACTTTGCGTGCTCATGATGACAAGAGGCGGCCTGATTCCTTGGAACACATTCTATATTTGTCGGATGCTGCCTGCTGTGGCATTGCTTGATCTATTATTATGTCCCACATCTATGTACAAGAATTAGTCTATACATACAACAAGGCAAACTCAATACACCCCCATCAATGGCAGATCGCGAGAACTGCGTCCCACCCAGATCTGGAATTTGCCCTCCGGCATCACCCAGTTCTGCTCGCGCGTGCTCCAGTAGCTCAGATCCTTCCGACTGAGCGTCATCTGCACCTCGCGTCGCTCACTAGGCTCCAGCTCGACCTTGGTGAAGTTCCGCAGGACCCGCTCAGGAAACTCGATTTTCACCCGCTCCCTCTGCTTCTCCCCGGGCTTCTCTACGTCGGAGTCCACCTCCACCCAGTCGCCCTCCTCGGTCACATCGGGCGGAAAGGATACATAGACCTGAACCACCTCCTGCCCCTTGCGATCTCCAGTATTGCTCACCTGGACCTTTACACGTACCATCGCCTCGTATAGCGCGGGATGGCCACCTGCTCCGCCTCCGGCCGGCGATGGATTTTGTGTCTCGTTGTAACCCTTGGGGTAGAATGAATAGTTGCGCGGTGCCGCTCCATCAAGACTTGGAAGATAGGGATAGATGTACTTGAAGATTGGCTGGAAACCAGCTGGGAATAACGCCGATGCAGGATCCGGAAGGCTGGTATCGTACACTGGTGGAGCCACGGCGTCTGCAGGCCGCGGGGGTGGAGACCGCGATTTTTTCTGCACCGGGCTGACGCTGAGATCCGACAGTTCAATCGTGGTATAGGACAAGCCGAACCCGAATTCGAAGCGCGGCGTGATGTTATAACGGTCAAAATGCCGGTAATCGACGTACAGAGCGTCCAAAAAGTCCACCTGGGGCACCGGTGCATTTGGCTCGTATAACACCTGCGCGCCAGGCCCATAGTCCTCCAGGCTCTTCCCAATTGTGTATGGCAATCGTCCACTTGCATCCACGTCGCCGAACAGCACGTCCATCAATGCATTCCCGCTCTCCTGTCCGGGCAGGTTGGCCAGCAGGACGGCGTGCACGCCGGGAAGATCGATCCACGACTCCATCACGACCGGACCGACCGCGTGAATGACAACTACTGTCTTTCCCTGTCCGCCACCGCAGTTGCTCGCCACGCTGTGGACCAGGGTATCGCCTCCTTTCTGCAGAAAGAGATCGTTTCGGTCGCCGTGAATTCCGCCTGCGGAAATGTACCCCTCTCCTGAGTCTGCATTCACAAAAACCAGGCACAGATCTTTGTCAGCCGCGTCCGCTGGGATGACGGCGTTGCGCAGGTGCTCGGTGCTCTCTATTTCCGTCGACCATGCAGTTTCCAACGCCTCAATAGGGCTGACAAGATACGGGAACTCCACGGTTCCACTGCCCCAGCCGGTAGCCAGGGTGCCCTGGTTGCATCCCCGGTCAGGGCAAGCATTTGGCCCCGAGGCCGGTCCGGCGTCGTCACCATAGATACCAACGCGCAGAATGCCTCCGGATGGACTCGAGGCGTTGCGCGACAGTGGAAGTGTGTGATCTACGTTCTTCAGCAGCACTGTCCCTTCCGCCGCAACCTTTCTCGCAATGATGCTATGCGCCTCTGGCCCGGTGCCCTGGACGTCAACGTATTGGTTCACCACAGCATAGGACTCGTCGTTGCTTCCCGTATGCAGCCACCCAACCTCGTCGTTGGTCCAAGACGAAAAGTTAGGGCCGCCGTTGCCCTCGGGCGGCGGACGTTCCCAGTTATCTTGCCCCAAATGATACCACGCAGCCACAATTCGCGTGACCATGTCGTTGAGTCGCTCCACAGGAACAGATGTGTTGAGCACCGCTCTTGTCAGTTCACTACCCCAGAGGGACTTGCCGTCCACCCAATGCAGACCGTCTCCCGGCATGCTCATGTCGAGGCCACCAACGGCGCTGTTAATGCCAGACCGCTGGGCCAGCCAGTCGGACTGCACAAACCCTTGAAACCCCAGTTCATCCTTGAGGATCCCGTTCAAAAGTTTGCTATTTTCGCAGGCGTGGCTGTTGTTCACCATTTGATAAGAGCACATCACGCTAGCCACGTCGGCTCGAATACTCTCGGCAAAGGGCCACGCAAAGATTTCGTGCAGTGCACGATCGCCCACATTGGATGATAAAGCAGTCGGAATCCCCCACTCAAAGGGCTGCCGGAAATGCTCCTGCTCATTCATCACGAAATGCTTCGCCGTCGCCATGACCCCATTGCTCTGAATACCCCGGATGGTTTCCGCCGCAGCCACACCTTGAAGCACAGGGTCAGAGCCGAATCCTTCCCAGTTGCGCCCTCCCGCAGGCATCATTCCCAAGGGACCCATCGACGGGCCCAGGAGGACATTCACCCCTTTCAACCGAGCCTCTCGCCCCATGGCAACGCCGCGCTCGCGCATGAGCTCTCGATTCCACGTAGATCCCGTTGTAATACCCGCCGGAAAGGCAGACACATGGTCAACAAAGCGTAAGCCTTGAGGGCCGTCCTGTAAGCACAGCGAGGGGAATTTAACAATATCCGCCGGGCCTGAGCAATCAGCATGAATTCCACAGTCACAATCAACCAACGTACCAGTGTTTCCAACACACATTCCCATCTGCCAGCCAATCCCAGTCGTGATGTTGACCTTTTCGATGAGCGTCATATTCCGGACCAAGCTCTGCGCCTTTTTATAACTCTCCTCCCAATGCTTCAGCGTCCCCCCCTTTGGCGACGGAAACCACGAATCAGACGGTATCATCGGCTAGACAATCAGCCCCCAGCCTCAGGAAAAAGTATGCTACAGCACTCACCCAAACCTTCGGCTCCTGCCTATGCGACACTGCAAAACTTAGAAACCCCCACACCACCACCGCCAACGTAACAATGACAGCGACCAGCGTCCGCCACCAGATCCGAGCATACTTGACCGGCGTCCACGCCCTGAGCCTCTCGCGCCGCCGCTTCAGCCTGTCCTTCAACTTGTATCTGAGTGTGGCCTCCTCGTCGGAGTCGAGGTCGTCCGAGTCGTCGACGAAATCATACTGTTTCGACGCGGAGAGGAGCTCCAGCTCTGCTTCTGTGATGCTATCGAGGTACGTCTCAACGCCGCCGTCATCGCGGATGGTGGGGATGAATGCGGAAGAATGGTGGGAGCCGTAGCGGTCGACAGGACGGAGCTTGTAGGTGCCTGACTTTTCGAGGTCGGAGTCCGAGTCGGTGTCGGCATCGGCAAATTCGGAGGGAGAGCGAAAGGAGGAGATTTCCTCGGGGATGGCTTCGTGGAGGGGAGCGTAGCGTTGTTTGCCCTTGGATGTTGAGCTGGTTTTAAGGTGGTCCCTGAAGCTTCCGCCGTGGGTGGAATCCGGGGGAGCCATGCCGGGTTAGGGTAGGGATGTCATTTGATTAGAGAGATGTCTCTACAGACTGAAAAGAGAGAGAGAGAGAGAGAGAGAGACGGAAGATGCGGATTGACAAGTAAATGACAGGAGCAATTGCTGTCGATGGATAAAATGACGAAGCCGACGTGGTGGAACGGGGAGAAGCTATCAGCCAATCAGAGGGGAGCTGCATCTCCTGTATTGGAGATGCATTACGCACTGCTGGCGATCTTTTTCACTCGATTTCAAATGGCATGCTTTTGATATGCAGGAGAAATAGAGCGAGAGATTTGATTGTCGTGAAATAGATAGCTGAAATGTTGAGATGCTGAAATGCTGTGTAAAGTTGACGGATCGCCTAATCTGGCATGACAATAACAATATTCAACCCCTATTGCAGCCCAAGAACTGCTGAGCTCTCATGAAGTTAATAACCAGGAGACATGATTAAATATTACGAGAAGACTGGTTGCTTTATATGAGGCACTTTAGACAGCTCAGAGAAGAATATATTGGTCGAGTGCCAGGTACTTGCACAAGTTTATATAGTTGTTACCCGTGAGCAAAGGCACCAATTGTAAGCTTCTTACAGTGGAAGCTATGAACGCCAGAGTAAGTACGACTAATGGAATATAGACATAAAAACAGATGATGAAACGTAGGCATCGAAGTCATGTTCTCTATGTACTAACAATGTATTATTCAAAACATATACACCAGACCGTCTATAGCAAGATATGCCAAGTTGAATCATAACGCTCATATGCATTAGAAAGATGCACTTTTAGAAGTAAAAAGCAAAAGATCTATTCAGCTTCGTCGTCGGTGTCTTGGGGCTTGGGAGTACCCTTGGGAGATTGCAACCTATGTAGAGTTAGCAAGTCTGCAGAACGTGAAAAGATAAGGAGGAACATACCATTCAAGGTGACGCAATCTACGGCGCGCCTCGCGCTCCTTCAGCTGCGCACGCGTCATCTTCTTCTTCTTTCTGGCCTTGAACTTCAGTTCGCCTTGATCTTCAGCGCCAGAGTTGACAGCCGACGGAGCGGCGCTCGTCGCAGCCGAATTGGCGACAGTGCTGCCCGGCTGAGGCGAACTGGCGGCGCTGTCCTCGAAGCGGTCGAGAGCCACAGCGTTGTTGGTCCGAGCGACAATGCGACCATCGGCGATGTGCAACTGCTCGGGGCACAGGGCACCCACGAACTCCTCGTTGTGGGAAATCATGACGACACCTCCCTTGAAGTCACGGATGGCAACTGCCAGACCACCAAGAGAGTCACGGTCCAAGAAGTTGGTCGGCTCGTCCAACACCAGCAAGTGCGGGTTGTTCCACATGGCACCGGCCAACACGACCTTGACCTTTTGGCCACCAGAGAGACCGGAGATCTGGTTGTGGTTGGCAATCTCGGGGTCCAGACCGATATCCTCAAAGTGCTTCGAGATCGTCTTGGGGTCAAGGACTCGGAAACCGAGACCCTCACGGGAGGCTTCATGATCGTCAAACTCCTGGACCAGCTTGAAGAAGCCAAGCTCGGTCAGGGTCTCACGCGAGATCATGGTGTTGTGCTTGGGAAGAAGGCCGACCCATTTGATTTCGTACTGGAAGGTCTTCTTCCACTTCTGACGACCCATGATGGCTTCGATGCGGCGGGGGCCCCGGCCATCGCCAAGGTCGACCGGCTTCTCCATTTGGGCCTTGTCCTGGTCCGTCAGAATACGGGTCTGCTTGAGGAAGACTTCGCGGTCGTCTCCATTGGCATAACGCCACTGCAGGTATTGGCTGGGAGTCTTCTCGAGATGCATTTCAACGTGCTCCAGAGCGTGCTGCTTGATGTATCCGATACGAAGGTTGGGGTGCTTCTCAACTTTTCCGGTCTGGGGGATCGTCTCACCCGTCAACATCTTGATGAAAGTCGACTTGCCAGCACCGTTGCCACCAATGATGGCGACTCGAGACGACAGTGACAGCGAGAGGGAAGCGTCAACCAGAGACGGCTTGCTAGCGCCGGGGTAGGTATAAGTGCAGTTGGTCATACGAAGGATCGAACGGGTGTTGGACTTGATGCCAGAAAGGATACCGGGGGCAGGGAACTTGAACTGCACCATGCTGGAGGACAGGGTGTAGTAGCTCTTGGCTTCGGGCTTCTGTTTGACAAAAGCGGCCAGGTTACCCTTGTAGTGGACCAGCTTCTTTCCCTCGTAGTGGTAGATGTCGGTGCAGACCTCGTCCAAGAATCCCGAGTCGTGACTGACAATAAGACTGGTGATATCAGTGTGCTTCTTCAGATACTCCTGCAGCCACTTGACATTGGCAACATCCAGATGGTTAGTCGGTTCGTCCAGGAGCAACACATCGGCCTTCATGAGCATAGCACGGGCCAAAGCCAGCTTCATTTTCCAACCACCGGAGAGGGAGCCAACCCGCTGGTTCTGTCTTCCCTCGGGGCCATCGGTAAAGCCGAATTCGAGGAGGACACGGCTAATGTGCTCTTGTCCGGCTTCGGCAATCTTGGGATCCTTGGAGACATATTCGATGATGCTCAGATCCGCGTCTTCACCCTGATTGTGCTCGACGAAACAGGTACGGACAACGTCCTGAGGAGGGAATCCCTCTAGCTTCTCATTGGCAATACTGCGCATGAGGGTAGACTTGCCGGCACCGTTCCGACCACAGAGACCGTAGCGGTGACCCTTGAGAAGGCGAAGGTTCGTGTGAGAGAGCAGCAGCATTCCTCCGTAAGCGAGGGAGAAGTTGGCGTTGACAATCTCAACCTCGTTGGGGTCGTCAGGAACGGGCTTGCCGAACTTGCGGTGGTCTTCTTCGATGAAGTGCTCCTGGACGGAGGAAGCGACAGCCTCGTGCTTGTCATCCTGGAGGAATCCACGAAGATAAGGCCCAACACAGGCAAGAATGCGATCGTGCATTCTGGCATTGACATCCTCGCGCACCATCTCAGCGATGTAGCTCTTGCCGAGCTCGAAGAGGGCGTGCTCACTGGGCACTGCAAGGCCACCGTTCTCCTTTACCTTGGCCTCGAGCACAGCGAGAACCTCTTCAGCGGTCGTCTTCGCCACGGAGCCGGCCGCCAGGCTGCTGTCACCCATAGCTTTGTCGATGACATTCATGGCGCGGGTGGCAAGTTCTCTGACTTCAGGCAGCGAAGCGCGATCCTTGACCGCCTGCACACCGGGCTTGAGTTTGGGCAAGAAGGTGCGTGCTTCCGCCGGGTCATGGACCAATTTGGTCAAGTTCTCCACAACCACCACAGTGCGGCGCAGGGTCTCCTGGGGCGTCGTGGGTGCGTTCAGGGAACGTTCGAGCAGAGGGGTCAAGAGGGCGAGGACGGGCGAGGTGACGATGGCGACGAAGGTGGTCTGAGACAGGGCGTGGATAGCGTTCTGCAAAGTCTGTTCTGAAGGCTGCTCCATGGTCTTGATAAGCAGAGGAATGCGAGGAGCGACATCGTCGTTGTCCAGCAAAGTGGTCAGCGCGGTCATGGTCTTGATGGCCTGCTTGGCCACTTCGTTCTTGAGGTCGTGCATCCCGGACTCAACCAGGGGAATCAGCTCCTTGAGAGTCTTGCCCATGGCACTGCGCAGAAGATCCTTCTGGCGCTCCTCGTCCATGGTTCCAGTGCCAATCTGCGCCTTGACGGCCATCTTTTCCAACAGGGCATAGGCACCGACGAACCCCTGCCACTTACCAGAGCTCTTGTTGAGATAGGCCGAGAGGGCGGGGATGAGGGCGTTGACCAACGATTCTGGTTTCAAGCAATCGAAGAGCGCATCGATGGCGTATTGGGCCGCATCGCGCACGACAGCGCCCTTGTCAGCCAAAGCGTCGAGTGCAAGGTTCAGGACACCGCCATCCTGAAGAAGGAAGACGACTTCGCTGAGGGGGTGCTCGCGTGGAAAGCGCTCGAACAGGGCACCGATGATCAGCATGGCGCTTTCACGACGGGCACCGCTCTTCTTATCTGTGGCAGCCTTTTTGATCTCAGGGAGGATGTTGTATCTTTGAAGACCAAACGCTCCGACGCTCTGGATGAGGAGGTTGGTCAGGCCGTAGGCAGCCTCAAGAGACTGTTGCGAAGTCTCAGCCGTAAAGATTGTGTTCGTAAACGAGGATACCTCCTCGACGGTGGGAGGCACTCCCGAGGGAGTTTTCGAGACGGCGATAGGTGCGGACATCTCGGAGTGAGGCATTATCATGAAACTTGAGGGGGAGAGTGGAGAGTGTCAAAGAAAAGTGAGCTTCTCTGTCGATGTCAGGCCGACAAGATTATCTTCGTCGAGGCGATGGCGGGGAAACACGAAGATTAAGGGGAGGGTATATAAGATGGTAAGCCGGTGGATGAAATTCGTCCTTCCCCCAAGGACAGCTCGTCTAAGAAAAAGAGAAGGTCTAGGGTATATGAGAAGAAGAAAGAAAACAAGCAACAAAGAAGAGAAACAGCAGACTTGAAAATTCAAGGCTGATGATGGATGATGGAGGGGTCTCCACTATCTCGCTTTATCAACAAGAAAAAATTCGTGCCAGCGGACGAAAATTTTTGCCTGAGGCGATTCAGGGGTGCATGGCCAATCAGAGCTCACCGCCAGCACATGCGGACGATGATTTGCTCATGGGATCATGTGGCGTGTGGCTGGGGGATTATACGCCACAACGAGGCTGAGTGGCACAGTTGGTGCCTGGCCAGAGACTTAGATGCCTCAGGCACAGCATACCCCGGTCTTGGCCTTTCCTAATCGGGACTCCCCGCGTCATGGCAACAGTACAGAATGCTTAATCATGTTGCCTGACAGCATACGTTGTAGGAAGGTTTTACAGGTTGTGTCTTTATTTAATCTTGATAGTTCCTCCTTCTAGCAGCCTACGCAGGATAGATTCGAACGTGGTAGAGTCAGTAAACATGAAGTGATTGTGTACTCCTACCCCAGACCCACGAATGCCCGAACCCCTCATGTGATACCGACCTCTGTATGTCAACAACTAAGGTAATGGACAAAACCATCGAAAATCTTGTAAATAGATCTTTATCATAATTATCGTAAGATCAATTCCTTCATCCTGATACCCTTGAATCTACCGCCGGACCGAACATCGGCCATGCAACACCAGTAATGGCAATTGTCTTGTCCGCTGCTGCCGCCGACCGCAACTCCGCATGCAGCCGCGTTTTGCCTCGGTTTTGACAGACTTCCCCCCTGCCGTCATGGTTTCTGTCCACTGCCTACCTCCGCGGTCAACCGGAGGTGCTCTTTTCCTCCTTGTTTCGTCGTGCCTTTTTCTTTTACTCTCTTCTCTGATTGTCCCCCGCCTCATTTACTCAGAATATCCCTTGATATCCTCTCATCATAATGGCCATGACAATGAGATCGACACGCCATGCATCCAAGCTGGCTCAGGTGAGCATCAACCTGGTCAACAGTCGCATCCAAAGACTCATGTGTTTTCACGCTTAGACAGCCCGCTTGGCTCTCAATAATACCCGCAGATATTCGACGGCCGAACCAGATCTCAAGACCGCTCTGAAGGCGGTGATCCCCGCCAAACGCGAGCTGTTCAAGCAGGTCAAGGAACGTAGCGATGAGGTGATTGGCGAGGTCAAGATCGGCAACGTCATTGGTGGCATGCGCGGTCTCAAGTCCATGCTCTGGGAGGGGTCAGTGCTGGATCCCGACGAGGGCATTCGTTTCCACGGCAAGACCATCAAGGACTGCCAAAAGGAACTGCCCAAAGGCACCTCGGGCACCGAGATGCTCCCCGAGGCCATGTTCTGGTTGCTCCTGACGGGCCAGGTCCCCTCGACCAACCAAGTCCGCGCGTTCTCGCGCGAGCTGGCCGAGCAGTCCCATCTGCCGCAGCACATTCTGGACCTGATCAAGTCCTTCCCCCGATCCATGCACCCCATGACCCAGCTGTCCATTGCCGTGGCGGCCCTCAACACCGAGTCCAAGTTCGCCACGGCCTACGAAAAGGGCCTCAACAAGGCCGACTACTGGGAGCCCACGTTTGACGACAGCATCTCGCTGCTGGCCAAGATCCCGCGAGTCGCGGCGCTAGTCTTCCGCCCGGACGAGGTGGACCAGGTCGGCACGCAGGCCCTGGACGCCAGCCAGGACTGGTCGTACAACTTCGCCGAGCTCCTGGGCAAGGGCGGCAAGGAGAACCAGGACTTCCACGACCTGCTGCGTCTCTACCTGGCGCTCCACGGCGACCACGAAGGAGGCAACGTCTCCGCACACGCCACTCACCTGGTCGGCAGCGCGCTCAGCGACCCCTTCCTCAGCTACAGCGCGGGTCTGCTGGGTCTCGCAGGTCCGCTGCACGGGCTCGCCGCGCAGGAGGTTCTGCGCTGGATCCTGGCCATGCAGGACAAGATCGGCACCAAGTTCACCGACGACGACGTGCGCACTTACCTGTGGGACACGCTCAAGTCGGGCCGCGTGGTCCCCGGCTACGGCCACGGCGTCCTGCGCAAGCCCGACCCGCGCTTCCAGGCGCTCATGGACTTTGCCGCGACCCGGCCGGATGTCCTGGCCAATCCTGTGTTCCAGCTTGTCAAGAAGAACTCGGAGATTGCGCCTGCTGTGTTGACTGAACACGGAAAGGTACCTTCCCCCTGACGATACTCTCACTAGCGATACTGACAAATGACGCAGACGAAGAACCCCCACCCCAACGTCGACGCCGCCTCCGGAGTCCTCTTTTACCACTACGGCTTCCAGCAGCCCCTATACTACACCGTCACCTTTGGCGTCAGCCGTGCGTTGGGACCATTGGTGCAGCTCATCTGGGACCGGGCCTTGGGACTACCGATCGAGCGACCGAAGAGTATCAACCTGCTGGGGTTGAAGAAGTGATACAGCAAAGCTCAAGTATGACCGAGACGATTGTATTGCCCGTGATATCAACTGTTCTGTTTCGTTTACCGCCGATGTGCAATTAGAATGTAGATTCAATGAATAGATTACCGTCATTATCAGTTGAGTGTCCAAATCACTCGATATTACATGGGTATCAACACAAACACACCAATCACTCAATCCACCCGCTGCCCCTCAAACTATGACTCTCGACCCGCACCTCCGTCATCGTATGGATCCCCCCGCACTCTGTCCCGTTCTCAGTCATCCCCTTCAACTCCGCCAGCGTCGTCTCACTCTCACTTCCCCGCTCGTGCGAATTCGAATTCGTATTCGAATTCGAACTCGCATGTATACGCGCACACGGCGCCAGGATCCGCTCCTCCGAGTCCCCATCCGAGGCGACCTTGTCCCGCTCCTGCTCTACCGCAGTCGACAAGATGGTCGTCGTCGCGGGGATACGACTATCGAAGGGGCTGGAGTTGGAGCCGGAGCCATGAATATAGCCGGAGGGGCGCTTCGAGGGCGTCAGGCGGTAGGACTGGGATCCGCCGGGGTAGCGGCGGCGGGAGGAGGCTAGTTTGAGGGAGTGGAAGAGGGGGCCGTAGGTTGGGATGCAGGAGATTATTACCTGCAGTCTTTAAGTTAGCGAGCGTGCGAGCGAGCGAGCGACAGTGGAGCGTCGCTGGCGATGAGTGAAGTGGAGGTAAGAGGAGGGGGAACATACGCCGAGGCTAATTTCAATAACAGACCAGAGGACGATACCCTGGCTGTCGGTATAAGTTTTGAGGTTCTTGATGGTGAAGATGCGGATGATTTGGATGATGGTGACGAAGAAGCCGAGGGCGAAGAGGGCGACGAGGGCGATTTTTTGGCGGCGCTGGAGGTGCAGGGTTATCAGGACGGGGAGGGGGAGGGCGATGATGATGCAGTCGAAGGCGAGGCTGGTTCCTGGTTTTCTTAGTCCTGCTTGCGCCGGTTACTGCTGAGAGTCATACCTGCGAGTGCTGTATGATGTTAGTCTGGCACGACTTGACGGGAGAAAAGAGAACATACCGTAGTAAGATGCAAGGGCATCGATGCAGGTGCCCTGGATGGACATATCCCACTGCTTGGCTATCGGATGACAGGCAAAGCACAAGACAAATGTAAAAGCCAACTGGTTACCGACACAGGCGACGATGACGGCGATGATGACGATGCGGTAGGCCTTGACGAACCCGCCGATGCGGAGGTACGAGGCCAAAAGCGAGACTTTGAAGCCTAGCAGGGCCAGCGTGTAGACGGGGCCGCCGGTATATTGAACCTGCTTTAGTCAACCACAGATCTTTATCGTCGGTGAGGTCAAGGCAAGACGGACCTTGCTGAACGGCACGACGTTTTCCTTGGGAAAGTATTTGGCATCCAGTCCAAGACCCCATCGCGATTCTATGCGTAGTTAGCATCTGCAGCCTTGCAACTCCAGACTTGCAGGAGACTCACGCGCAATGGCTATCGCGCCATACGCAATGCCCAGAACGGAACTGAACAGCGAGGCATAATCATCGACCCATCCGGCGCGCTTGGTAACGACGCGCACATACAGCCGCAAAAGAACAGCCAGAAAGGCGACGATGGGAAAAACCAGGCAGATGGCAATGACACGCGGGACCTGGCTGTGAGGATCGGGGGTTTTGAGATTGTACACCCAACCCATGGCTATGCTAGGGAGCAAGCATATCACCGTGGCTTCACTAATATGGAGATATGAAGCTGTTGACCTAGAAGGATGTGCGTATTTTCTACTTTACTGGGATATTTATTGAGATGCACAATTAAGTTTGTAGGATTTAGATCGATTTCCGACTGAGGATATCCAGTTATCCACTGAATCTAGACAGGTCTCCGCCTGAGTTTATGATATGGTCAGTTGGTCACGCTGGTCGTCTCCAGCTGGGCTGGGAATCGATACTTAGTAATAGTGAGAAGGATCGGCGCACGGTAACACAAAAGTAAAAATGGGAGTAGACCAGGAGTGGTGGAACAATGGAAGAAGGAACTGAACCTTTCTCAGACAGTTCTCCGATGAACCACGGCTAGTCCGAAAAACCGACTGAGACTGTCTCAGTCTTTGGACTACGGAGTACTCCGAACATGGCATTCCACCAGTAGAAGGTCCTCGCTTGCTTTTCATTTCAGCCCAACCTGGCCAGTCCGCTTCCTGCGCAGGAATGGTCCTAGTAAACAAGTGGAGAACTGTAAGCCGTTGAAACCATGGTTCACGTTTATCTTGGCATTGGCATTGGCATTGGCCATCTTATCAGTGTCAGTCTATTGTATCTAGATATGCTGTAGCCTGTAGATACACATTCATCTACCTTACTACTAGTACCTACATCAAGGGATCGAGTTACAGTGTGCACATGGAAGGGACCGAGAGACTTGGAACAAACCCAAAAATCGACCAGGATTCACGGAAATGCAAAAGCGGCAGGCGATTCATCTATTAAGCTTCAACCAACCGGAAACATCCCTGTTATGCCCCCCAAACTAGGCCCAACTTAGTCCCGCCTCCACATTTCATTGGGCCATCGATCCCGCGGTGGAGTTGCAGGATCAGGATCAGGATCATACAGCCATACTGCAGCCGGCCAGTAAGGAAGCAGACTGGTAGAAGATAAGGTAGTTTACTCCGTAGTCCGTAGTCTACTCCGTTCTCTGTGCGAGGTTCCCCTGTCTGTCTAATATATGGTCAAGATTGCCGATGGTCTCAGACGTCTAGACTCTGGATTCTTCCGAAGCATGCCTTAATGTCGGTAGATGATGATACCAGTTTCAGCTTGATGAGCTGCGACTGCGAGCACAGATGGAGACTATTTAGTTAGCTCAATCCCTGAGGATGAGAACTCTAGCCGGTTAATAGCTAATAGCCTAATAGGAGGCCAGTGAGGCAGTAGTCACGTTACTTGCAGATGCTGCATAGTCAAGTCAATAATTAAGATATCTAGAGAGGTACACCGTATTGAAACATATATACACTGCTCCTAGCCGACTCTGGCTAGGTTACTTGCTCTTGCACAAGTGTCCATCCGACGTGACGGTCCACTCGTCCGACCCCACAGCCGTAGTCCCATAGAACATGCTATTCGGATCATACTTGGCCTTGATGGCCCGCAGCTTCTGGTAGTTTTTACCATAAAACGCCGTCTGGAAATTGGGCTGCCGGAAATCGGCCTCGTTGAGATACGCCCCCGAGTTCGGTGCCACCGCCTCCAGGCGAGGAATGTACTCGTCGGTCATCTTGCGCTGCAGCGCGATCATGTCGGCCGTCGGAGCGGTCCAGTCCCACGGCGTCGTGATGATGGTGTCGATCAGCGTCTCGCGCCAGGCGGGCAGCACCGCGTTGTAGACATCGCCGGCCACCGCCGGGGAGACGTTGACCCCCACGCCGATGAAGGTGGCGCCGTCGGACGTGATGGCCCGGTACGCGGCGGTGAGGTTGGCGTTGTTGGTCTGCACAACCGAGCGCGGGATCAGCCAGCCGCCGTACTGCGCGATGCCGACCTCGATGGCGCCCTGCATCCCCTCAAATTCAGCCAGGTAGCTGTCGAACTGCGCCGAGTAGGTGATAAAGTCGATCCCCAGCCGGGTCAGCCCGTCGGTGAAGGGCTTGACTAGCGCCTGGAGCTGGGCCACGGGGATGTTGGGCGCGGTCAGCGGCGAGATGTAGAAGCTGGTGTTGGTAAAATACCAAACGCTCATGGCGCCGGCGTCGACGATCGCCGGCAGCGTCGCGTGGTACAGCGCAACCGCCTCATAGAACGTATCCTGCGAGATGCCGTCGCTGGTAAAGCTCAAGCTCAGCCCCGACACCGGCGTCGCCGGGTGCGCCTTGGACGTCATCGACCAGACCACGCCGTAGGTGCCGCCGCCGCCGCCGCTCAGCGCCCAGTACAGGTCCGCGTACTTGTTGTCGCGGTTGGCCACGATGAAGTTGCCCTGCCCGTCAATCACCTCCCACTCGAGGACCTGGTCGGCTGCCAGTCCGTGCCGCGAGGCCAGCGCCGAGTGCCCGCCGCCTTGGGTGTAGCCGCCGGCCAGACCAACGGTCGGACACTCGCCGCCGACTACCTCGAGACCTTGCGCATCGGCGGCCTGGTACGCCTCGATGCCCTGCACGCCGGCACCCATCTTGATGGCCTTGCCCTTGTAGTGCTTGTCGGACCAGTCCTTGAACTGAATGTCCTTGAGGTGATGCGTCCAGATCCCCAGGGCCCCTGCACCGGTGGACTTGCCGTTGTAATCGTGGCCGGTGTTGCGCACGACCACGCGGATGTTGTTCTTGGTGGCAAACTGCATCGTCTTGGAGATGTGCTCGGGCTTGCTCACGTTGACCGCGTAGACAACATAGTTGCCCAGCGTGCAGGGCTGGGAGACGGGGTGGAATGGGTCGCAGGTGCCATCGGTGAAGAATGGGGCCATGATCGACGAGGAGGATTCATAGCTGCTTTCTATCAGTTCCGAATCAGAAAGGAAAAGAAGAGGACATTACGTACTGCAGCTCAGGCATCTGCCAATGTGCCTTCAGAGCCTCGCATGTGGCAGCATCATAGTTGGGCGCATGGCAGGGAGTGCCTAGCGGGATCGTAGCAACCAGTCGGCCGTCAATTGTCTGGTTGAAAGCGGACCAGACCTGGGGGGAGGGCCAGCATGCTTCTCCAGGGAAGCATCGACAGTTTGCTTGAGAAGTGGTAGAGGCAGATGCCGTAGAAGATAGAGCCAGGAGGCCGGTCAGAACCGACCAGCCGTTTGTCGTAGTGGAGAACATCTTCATTACCGATCACCCTTGAAGCAGTTTACGTCTCGACAGGACGGACGAGGGAATCTCTTGATTTATTAGCTCATTTCCTCTGCATCCAGCAACCAGCCAGGAACCTGTGGCATCCGACGCTAGAAGGCACCGCGTGGCCTGCATAGGAGTTAATCCGATGCTAATTCCTTAGTCGGTGGAGATGCTGGAGGATTCGCCTAATCAGTCGAAATTGTCCGTTCAATACTCCGTAATCGTATAATTGAGGGGGTTCGTTCCAGAATGCCTTGGCTTTCTATTATTATCATTAGTTATCGACTACATATTCCATATCCATAATAATATGCATATTCATCCCTTGATGCACAGCTATTTATCTTCATAACACAATGTATGTTATCTTGCATACGGATACTCGATCCTTCTATCCAGGATCCAGATCCGTCCCTACAAACGAGCACCTCCCACCAGCGTCTCCCACTCCCTCTTCCCAAACTCCACATATTCCTCCGCCCCCGCCGGAAGCCAATAGAACTTGTCATCCCATCCCTCAGCCACCTTACTCCCAACCTTGGCTGGGTCGACCCCCTCCTCGCGCAAGGGCACCTTGTTCTGCTTGTGGTTGTGGATATGCGCCGGCGTCTCCACGATCCGTAGAAACACTGGAACAGCGTACCGGGGCAGTCTTGCGCGTGCAAACGCAGCCAGACCGCGAAAGTCGAATGCGTCTGCCGCCTCCGGGCTGAGCTGGAGCGCTGCGCAGCCGGCGCGGCCCTCGTGTTCGGGGACCAGGACTCCGTAGACGTTAGCTTCTTGGATGCCGGGGTATTGGCCTAGGATTTCGGCCACTTCGGCGGTTGCACTGCGTCCATTAGTATTTAGCACTGTGGTTTTATCAGAGGCAGACTTACACGTTCTCGGATTTCCATCGAAAGGTATCGCCCAGTCGATCGAGAAAGTACCACCGGCCGTCGTTCTGGCGGCGTAGCGCATCGCCGGAGCGATACCACAGATCGCCCTTTCTGAAGACGTCGCGCAGGAATTTCTTGGAGGTCGCGCTTTCGTTGCGCCAGTAGCCTTGGAATGCTTGTTCGCTGGGAACATTGACGATGATCTCGCCGCCTTTGTCGTACGGGGCCCGGATCGCAAACCCCGTCTTGGGGTCGCGCAGGACATCGCCGGTGGTGGGATCGATCGCCACAGGCACAAACATGTTGTGCATGACAGCTCGCATGATCAGTCCGTGGTGACCGACACTCCCCGCCGTAAACGGGCCCTTGTTGAAATTGAACAGCCCGAAAAGCCCCTCGGTGCTGTTGAAGAACTCCGCCACGGTACCGATCCCGAACCGGTCGCGGAATTTCTCCCAGATGTCCGGTCGCAGTCCGTTGCCGTACATGCAGCGAACGTGGTGGTTGCGGTCGTCCGGCGAGGGCGGCGCGGCCAGCAGGTACCGCGCAACTTCGCCGACGTACACAAAGATCGTGGCGCGGGAGTCTCGGATATCGCGCCAGAAGTTGCGCACGCTGAATTTCTTGCCTAGGGCAATGCTGACGCCTGTAGTGAGGCAGACCATCATGGCGATAGCAGATGTGCCGTGGTACAGGGGCATGCAGCTGTACCAGATGTCCCCGCCGGGACCGTCGGTGTCCTCCATCGATCCGCGGCGGAGAGCGAGCGTGCTGTACAGTCGTGCCATGGTGAATGCGCAGCCTTTGGGCATGCCGGTGGTGCCGGAGGTGTACAGCAGGATGGCCGGATACTCGCCCGACATGTTCAGCGCGAGATCCTTGGGTGGCTTGGTGGTGGGAAAGGTAGATACTTGCGAGGTGAACGAGGGGCCTAGGTAGACAAGTTCCATGCCCAGTTGGCCTTCGATAGCTTCCCTGCTGTCCTCGATGCGCGCGCGACATTCTTCATCGCCATCCACCAGAACAAGCTTGGCTCCGCTGATCTTGAGGCAATGCACCAACGCATCCCCGGTAAGATTGTAGTTGATTGCAGCGGGCGCACATCCAATACTCCAGAGAGCAAGCCACGCAATCATAAATTCCACCCGGTTCTGCAGGTAAAAGGCCACCAGGTCCCCTTGCTTGACCCCTTTGGAAAGAAAGTAGTGCGCATATTGGCAGGCGAGGTGCTGGACGTCACGGTAGGTATAGATTCCCTCCCGTGTCCACATGCACGCCATATCCGGGTACTTCTTTGCTGTTTCCAGGAATACAAACCAGACATTTCCAAGACCCTTGGCCGCTGTTCTTGTCAGACGTGATTTTGCAAGTACGAGGGAGGGCACCATACCAGCTTGTTCAAAAGAACGGTTACTTTTCCATGCGACGTACAGAGTCGAGATGTCTTTGGTGACGTGGAACTTGGCGTTCAGATACGCCGCCAGCGTAGCACCTCCTGCTACTGCGGCTACAGAATTCGGTTAGTGACACTGATGTCACTGGATGTAGACATACCTAGACTCATCGTGCCAGTAGGGAAAGATGTAAACTCAGCAATCGCTCATGCAAACGGTATTAAAGCAAGAATTAGTAGAATAGAAAGCAAGCAGTGGATGGTGTCTAGTAATTGAGACAACCATGCCGTTGCCGAGCTGTCGGTCTATCCTCGGTTCATCCTCAACCTCCCCGCATCTGGCATTCACCTCTCGGTCAACAGTCTTACTGGTTCGGCACTGACGTGTACATACTAGGCCGGTAAAGGATGATCCATTGGTGATTCGTTGGCAAAGGTCTGAAGGACAAGGATGCGGGGAAGGAAGCTCCATCAATGGCACTCGTTCATCCAGTAATGATCACAAATCATATTCCATCAATCCATCAATCCATCACTCATACACCACTCTTCAGTATCATTCTTCAAGCTGAGCTGCCTGCAGGACCAGCAACACCATCACCACCACCAGCACGACCCTGCTTCTTCTTCCTCATCGCCTTCTTCCGCCGCTTCGTCGGACGAGGACTGGTATCCATGGCCGCGATAGTAACAAGGGTAGCAGACATGAGATCATGTATCCTCTGAAATTCCTCATTATCAAAGTACTCGTAGTTCTCCTCCTCTTCGTATTCTTCATACTCCCTTCTCTTGCGCTTCCTGCCCCGATTCTTTCGCTCGCCTATCTCGTGACGGGCAGCCGCATCCCAGCGTTGTCTGAACGGGAAGGGAGGGGCCGAGAGATGAACGCCACGGAAAACGCATTCAGTTGCTTCAATGGCCAGCTTGTTTTTCCAGTTTATCTCGTCGTCGCTGTCGCTTTCGTCGATGGGAGCTTCCTCGGTTGGGATCTGGGTGTTAGGAGCGGAGGTCGGGGCGTTGAGTGCAGTGGTAGGGGTCGGCTCGGGCTGCTATATCATCATGCATCAGTATTTATCAGTATTTTGACTATAGATTTTGCAGATAGACCGAGCTAAACTCACCTGCGCGTAGGCCACGACCAAATCCGAGATCGCGTACAGCGTCTGGCAGCTCTCGGCGCCGGGACAGGTGGGCTTGTAGCAGGAGCTACAGGACTATCTTCTTCAGTAGTATCCTGTGAGTTGTGGATTGTACTTACAGCCATGTCTTTGGTTGAGACAACAACCAGAGCGAATCCGCTGTTGTTGTGATGGTGGTTGTGATGACCTGGATCCAGATCGAGGAAGAAGTAGCAGCAGGTGACGCGGTATACACACCTGTTGCCTACCTCGCGTTTGTAGCCCAATTGAATATTTGGCATGGAACTTTACACTTCTTGTGAAGAAGCTAGTCGATACTTGGAATCAGAAATATGCTATCAGTAAGTACGCCTGATGTCTATCAAACAGCACCTCGCATATCACGTCCACTGTGTCCTGAGCCACCACAGATATGGCATTGCCTCTGGACTATCTGGCTACTGCTTCGCAGATTGCCATTTTGTCTTGTTATCTAAACGAGTATACGCAATCAACCAAACTAGGCTAGTATAGCAGTTCTGGAGAAATACGCCTGCAACAACTTCATTGGGGTAGTTCTCTGGGATAAACGGTGTATAAATTCACAGGAATACAGAATCATGGCCATCTTCATATCTTGGTGGTGACCTAGATGTCTAGCAAAGCCTCAAGCCAAAGCTCAACGGCGTCTTGATGGTATGGCTGCTCAATAAGGTGTTCTTCAGCCTGACACGTCCAGGGAGGAACTATACCCTGTCCCCGACAATGCGAACCCGGTACCGGCCAGCTCGACGGTCATCAAATCCATGAGGTCCAATTGCTTGTTTGTCAACCTCATGATACTCATGTCTATAGATGCGAGTGCACGACATGCTAGGGTTGACAGGTGTGATTCCGAGGAGCATATCGTCGTGGTCCGGCCGCCTGAGAAGGAGTGACCTACTCAAGTACCTACATCCAGGAGCATATCAGCTGGCTAAATAAATGCTGCCTTGCTAGCTAGGTAGATTGAATGCATGAGCATCAAGGGCGAAGTTATAATAGAGGAGCTCTCAGGTTTATCATCAGACAGTGAACATGAAGATGCAGAAAAACTTAGGCACCTAACCACATCTCATAACTACCATCAAGCTGGAGGCACACCTTCTACGTCCACCAGGGCAACAGTTCTGGGCGCCAGGAAGGACTGATAACCTCACTCAGCCCTACACCCACCACCGAAACCAGAGCCTCAGCGGCTCCAGCCGCATCCATGGGGACTGGGTCCTCTTCAGGTGCCCAACGACCACGACTTCACGATCCTCTAATAATGCACTTTTTATTACTGGCTAGTTATATTCATCATGTCATAACCTAGCAACCTTCTTCTCCGTCGTCTGGCTCAACCAAGCCTTAAACGTATCAACCAACCCATCAATTTCCTCCACCGTATTACCCGCATGAAGGCAAACCCTCACCCGCTCTCTACCCGCAGGAACAGTAGGCGCCATAATAGCGCGGACCACAAACCCCTTTTGCTGACACGCCGCGGCCAGCTGGCGCGGGAAGCGGCTACGCACAGAGAAGATGGGCGAAGTCGGGAAATGATCCACTTGGAAGGCCGCGGGGTCCCAGGCGTCCAATTCCGCGAGGCGGTCGCGGAAGTACGCGACCAGCTGCTGCAGTTTGGTCTGAAGCTGCTCCGTCTCGCCCTCTGCAAGGAGCTCGTAGGCCGCGCGTATGGACGCAAGGAAGGGGAATCCCATGGCGGTGGTGTAGATCAGGCTCCGCGCGTAGTTGATCAGGTAGTCTCTTGTGTCGGGGCAACAGAGCACAATTGCTATCCAGTTAGTTCCCTATCATGAAGATCAGAAAAAGAAGAACTCACCACCGTGACTTGCAAGTGCTTTGCCGAACGTATGCACCCGGATGAACATGCGCTTCTCGACGCCTAGGCCCTGGACAACGCCCGCACCGCGGGGCCCAAACACGCCTGTAGCGTGCGCCTCGTCGACAATAAAGTAGCCATTGCCTCGGGGGAGCAGCCGATCAACCACCCGGATAAAGTCCTGGATAGGCGCAATGTCGCCGTCCATGCTGTAGATGGACTCGATGGCGATAAAGACGTTGCGCGAGCCCGTCTGGATCAGAGGGTCGTCGGCAATATGTGATTGGAGGACTTCATCCAGGCTGCTGGGTAAGCTGTGCGAGAACGGCACACGCTTGCCGGCCCTCGATAACCGCATGCCCTCGCGTGCGCTTGCGTGGATGAGTTCATCGTACACGATCAGGTCTCCTGGCTGGGGAATGCAGGAAAAGACACCGACGTTGGCGTCGAAGCCGGAGTTGAATAAAAGTCCGCTGGGAGCGCCGTGGAATTCTGCGGTGAAATTTTCGAGTTCCTCTGCGCAGGCCGAGTTGCCGTCCAATAGACGCGACCCTCCGCTGGCGAATGGGTACAGCGGGGGAGCTTGGTGGAGGAGTTCTAGAAAGCGTTCTCGAAAGACTGGAGATGTCGAGAGCGATAGAAAATCATTCGAGGAGAAATCTACTGAGGACTGAGGTAACACGGTCAATCGTCGACGAGAGGACTTGGCTTCTCTGCGAAGGAGGGCTTGACGCAATGAATCCTGGAGGGACTTGGGAGGGGAACTATCCATTAGAACAGACTATAGTAGACTTGTCACTAACAGATTATGGGAAAAACCAGTCACACAAGGACAAGCTGATCTGGGGTAGACAGATGGACTAATGGAAATAAGGATATGACCCGTCCAAGTCCGACACACCAGGGTGGAGCCGGGAATTGGCGATTAAACAGTATCGTCCGTGGTGGACTGTGGACCGGCTACCAGTAGGGAGTACTTTCAGGACGCATACCTTGTGACAGTGTGACAGTACACTGACACATTTTGATAATATAATAATAACAGTCATAGTAATAATAATAAAAATAACAATACAATTGTGGTCATTGCTCCAAAGCTAGGTAGCACTAGTGTGGACCAACCGTACTGCCAGGGACCAGGACCAACCGTTGGTCCCCAACAGCAGGGAACGGTCTGGTATTGGCGGGACATTCCTTGGTGCCTTGGTGCCTTGTACCTGGTACCGGATTAGGCTTAGCACTTGACGGATGCCTCGGCCAACCAAGTAATACTCGGAGTAAATTATAATAATACCAGCCAAGTACGGAGTACCTCTTATTATTACCTTATTGATCCTCGGATGGAACGATGATTCACCGAGATAGATTGGCCTGCTTATAGTCGGCTATGCGGCTACCATTGATATCACTCACATCTCTACCTTGAATAGTGAGATATCGCTGTCCAGGTCACAACACAGGCTGATTATCTGATGCCTCCGGTTCGAGCGGCCTTGTGGCGCACTCTGCGTGCCCACCAAGTCTACGGAGCCAACACAGATGTAGGCAAAACCATTGTGTCCACTATTCTGTGCAATGCGGTGCAACGTCGCAAGGCCGAAAAGGCGGCATTCCTGAAACCAATCTCTACAGGACCATTGGACGAGGCAGATGACAGACACATCCAACGTCATGCGGCTGGCACATTGACCAAATGTTTGTATCAATTCGATGAGCCGGTGAGCCCGCATATCGCTGCTCAACAGAAGAACTTTGTTGTAAGTTTTGACAAGCAATTGCTGCTTTGAAGCAAGCTAATGAGATAGATCCCTTGGGACGATGATATCCTCGGTTCCGTGCACAAGACTCTCTCCGAATGGGCTCGCACTGGAGTCAGTTTCGCTCTCGTAGAGACCGCCGGTGGAGTCCATTCGCCTGGGCCGAACGGTAACTCGCAGGCAGATCTTTACCGGCCTCTTCGTTTGCCAGTGGTTCTCGTCGCAGATTCGCGACTTGGGGGCATCTCGTCTTCCATCTCGGCCTACGAGTCACTACTGCTTCGCGGCTACGATGTCAATTCTGTCCTCCTGTTCCGCGACGATTACTACAAGAACCATGAATACTTGGGCGACTACTTCCGCAATAAGAGCATTCCCCTTGTACCATTGCCGCAGCCTCCCAAACGCCCGCAGTCGCAGGATGCAGCGTCCCTGGCGCAGGACGAGGAGGCCATGACAGGCTACTATCAGCACGTCGCGCAGGAATCAGACGTCCAAGGTCTGTTGGATGAACTCGCAGCGAGAAACGCGGAGAGAATCGATCGTCTGGAGTCAATGGCTAGTCGGGCCCATGGTACGATATGGTACCCGTTTACGCAGCACCATGGCATGACTGCCAAGGATATCACTGTGATCGACTCTGCACATGACGATTACTTCCAAACCTTTGAGTCGAGCGGCAATCCAGATCAGGGTAGTTTGCAACCAACGTTTGACGGCTCAGCGTCGTGGTGGACTCAAGGTCTTGGTCATGGCAACCCGGAGCTTGCCTTGTCGGCTGCATACGCAGCTGGACGATATGGACATGTCATGTTTGCGGGGAACGTTCACGAGCCCGCGCTATCGCTCGCAGAGCTTCTGAAAGACACTCTCGGAAACCCTCGGCTTCAAAAGGTCTTCTACACCGACAATGGAAGCACAGGGATGGAAGTGGCTGTGAAGATGGGTCTTCGTGCGGCATGCCATCGCTACGGTTGGGATGCCAGCAAGGAACAGATCAGTATTCTAGGTCTCAAGGGGAGCTACCATGGCGACACGATCGGGGTTATGGATTGCTCGGAGCCGTCAACTTATAATCAGAAGGTCGAGTGGTACCGCGGTCGCGGGTACTGGTTCGACTTTCCCCTGGTGAAACTGTCGCAAGGGACTTGGAAGGTCGAGATTCCAAACGTGCTTCGAGACTCCTTGGGGGCGGATCTCGAGTTTTCCTCGCTGAACTCTGTATTTGATCTGGAGACGCGTGTCAAATCAGAAGCGGGACAACGCTACAGAGATTTCATACGCACTACGATCGAAGACCTGGTCCACAGGCAAGGAACGAAGTTTGGTTCTCTCATCATGGAGCCTATCATTCTCGGAGCCGGTGGAATGCTCTTCTGTGATCCGCTATTCCAACGATGCCTCGCAGACGTGGTCCGCAGTCATCCAGAGCTCTTCACGACCAACGCTACAGATTCAAACAGCCTAGGATCGGAGACATCCTGGTCAGGTCTCCCGATCATCTTCGACGAGGTCTTTACCGGACTCTACCGTCTCGGACGCAAGTCTGCGGCCTCCTTCCTGAATGTCCACCCTGACATCGCCGTGAACGCGAAACTCCTGACAGGCGGGCTTCTCCCTCTTTGCACCACGCTTGCGAGCGAGGAGATTTTCCAAGCATTCTCCAGTCCCGAAAAGAGCGACGCCCTGCTGCACGGACACAGTTATACCGCGCACGCCGTCGGCTGCACGGTCGCAGTGGATTCCCTGCGAACCATGACGAAGATGGAAAGCAGTGGGTCATGGAATGCATACCGCGATAACTGGAAAGCAGTCGATGTGTCCGGGGAAGATAATTCCCCGGAGGTCTGGTCGGTGTGGTCCCGCGATCTGCTGCGTGACCTGTCATTCGCGGACTCGGTCGAGAGCGTCTTCGCCATTGGCACCGTACTCAGTATCTCACTGAGAGACGCCCAAGGCGGCGGTAAGTCTAGTCCTCTCTGCATCAAGATTATCTCGACCGATTCTAGCCGGCTAACATGTGACGTCGTCTCCACTACTGTAGGCTATACCTCCACGGCAGCCAAGGGCCTGCAGCAGAGATTATCTGCGGGCGGGCCAAAGTTTAGCGTCCATTCGAGAGTGCTGGGAAATGTGCTCTACATCATGTCGAGCGTCACGTCGAAACCCGAGACCGTGCGAGGGTTGGAAGGGCTGCTCCGGTCGGCGTTGCTTTGATGCATTCGCAAAATAAATTAAGAGACGAATGATGAAATTCAATCCAATACTCCGTAGATGTCCGAATTCGCAGACCATAGATTCTAGAATCGAACCAGACCAATTTCGAACCGGGAATATGAGATGGAAATCTGCAGATTCTCTTGGTCTGTTGATTCCTCACCGACGACCCGACAGAGAGGAAAGGTCAATTACCAATCAATCTTCAGTACGGAGTGTGCTCAGATATTATGAAATTGATTTGCATCAGTCAGAAGATAACTGCCAGTTCCTTTTGCCCGACCAGTCGATCCAATTGGTCCATCCAGAAATCCAGTCAGGGACAGCGGAGCCTTTTCCCGCCAGAATCAGGAACGAGCTACGAATGGACGGGTAACCGGGTAAGACACTCAACGCTGGAGGATCTCATTTCAATTACGATGATCGTGAAGAAAATATGAGCGGATGAATGGGTTAGCATTGATTGCAAGCTGTGGATCAGGATACATCATCAGTACTGTATCCCCGCTTCATAGTATTCTGTACGGAATTCAACCATTGATGGATGCGGTTGGGGTCAACAAGAACTGTACAATTCCGGAGAATAATAGTGACTCGTCTATTTTCATAATCCAATTCCATACAATTATTCCCTTACTTTGCATCTGCAAGTGCTGATTCCAATTAGCGGCAACCTTATTGGATCCTTTTTTCTGTCTCCAACCCCTCCCCACACTCTTCGTCTTCTCTTCTCCTTGAAGCACTAAGATAGACGGATCCTCCCTCCCAACTACGTGTGCTATTGTGTTGCCCCTCTTCTCCTTGTCCACACTCCCGAGGTTCAATCCAGATGCTAGTCTAGTCAACTAGCTTCTGTATTGACCATTATTATCGCTCTCCCTTGTGTCATTTCCTATCCCTTCTTCACCACCACCACCACACAACACACCACACACACCATGTCGCTATCTCTATCGCGGTCCCTGCACAGGGCCCTTCTGAGGAGATCCTATGGCACAGTCCAAGCTCCTCCCAGTGCTGCATCACTTACAACCAACCGCATTCCTCCCGCCCTCCAAGAAGCAACCGCCGCCACCGCCCCGCGCACCAACTGGTCTCGGGAAGAGGTCCAACAGATCTATGAGACTCCTCTGAGCCAATTGACTTATGCGGCGGTAGGTCGATCTCACCTCCTGCCTGTCAATGCATACTGACATACTGACCGACAGGCCGCCGTCCACCGCCGCTTCCATGACCCCGCCGCCATCCAGATGTGTACCCTKATGAACATCAAGACCGGCGGCTGCAGCGAAGACTGCTCGTACTGCGCACAGTCCTCCCGGTACAGCACCGGCCTCAAAGCCACCAAGATGAGCCCCGTCGACGAAGTGCTCAAGGCCGCCCGCATCGCCAAGGACAACGGCAGCACCCGGTTCTGCATGGGCGCCGCCTGGCGCGACATGCGCGGCCGCAAGACAAGCCTCAAAAACGTCAAGGAGATGGTCTCGGGCGTGCGCGCCATGGGCATGGAGGTCTGCGTGACCCTGGGCATGATCGACGAGAACCAGGCCAAGGAGCTCAAGGACGCCGGCCTGACCGCCTACAACCACAACCTCGACACCTCGCGCGAGTTCTACCCCTCCATCATCACCACCCGCTCCTACGACGAGCGCCTGCAGACCCTGTCGCACGTCCGCGACGCCGGCATCAACGTCTGCTCCGGCGGCATCCTGGGCCTCGGCGAGGCCGACTCCGACCGCATCGGCCTCATCCACACCGTCGCCAACCTTCCCTCTCACCCCGAATCGTTCCCCGTCAACGCCCTCGTTCCCATCAAGGGCACCCCGCTCGGCGACCGCAAGATGATCCCCTTTGACAAGCTGCTGCGCACCATTGCCACCGCTCGTATCGTCCTGCCGGCCACCATCGTCCGTCTCGCGGCGGGCCGCATCTCGCTGTCGGAGGAACAGCAGGTCGCCTGCTTCATGGCCGGTGCCAACGCCGTCTTCACCGGTGAGAAGATGCTGACGACGGATTGCAACGGCTGGGACGAGGACCGCGAGATGTTTGAGCGCTGGGGATTCTATCCCATGCGGAGCTTTGAGAAGGAGGGGTCCACGCAACCTGCCGTCGAGGCGCCCCCTGCCCCAGCTGCCCCTGCTGCCCACGATAGTGTATCTGCTGCGCCGGCCGCAGCTAGCTCGTAGACACTAGTCTCATGAATGATAACGATATCACCCTGTATGTCTTTTTCGTACTGTATCCAAAAATATTTCATTCGCCATACCATGATGCTGGTCTACGGCTGACTCAACTCCAAAGAACAAATCGGTAAATCATGGTTCATACTATGGCATCTTTCCAATCCAGACACACCATACTCAAGAAACAACATCAAAAGATGAAAGTAATCAGCCACCTGCTACGTACATACATTAAGCCGTAATCCGTTCGTTCTTCCTCGCCTTGTTCAAATAACCCATCACAACTCCATATCTCTGACTCTGCTGTGCCACCTAAGGTTGACTGTCATTGCAGTAGATGGCTGCCATACATGCATGACACCTTTCTCGTCTAGCGGGAACTACCTTGAAATAAAAGTACGGAGTACGGGCCACAGGACCCATCGAAAGAGTCCCGCTGGCTGGCGACTTCTTTGTTCATTCCCTCCCTAGACGTAACATCAGCGAGGCAGGTATGAATATCGGATGGCCAGTGGGACGCAAGGTGAAGTAGAGGACATGAAGATAGACATTACAAGTAATATACTACATCTATGGTGAATACATGCTTAGATGTATTCACTAGGACCCCAAAGTAAGACATTACGCCAGGTATACTACGTTCGGAGGCTGATATGGATGAAACAGTGAATAGACACTCAGATATATTCACTTCATACTACCAGGACAGCAGAGTCTGCTTGAGCAAATGTCTTCAGATCTCCCTGGGCCTGACCTCCTTGCATGCTTCTTCCTCTTCCAACTCTCTTGCTGGCTGACTGGCTCCGATATATCAGACATCAATTACTGTGCCAGCTACTACTGACAGATTTGACTTGATATGTTTATTGAAGTCATTTTGTCTTTATAGAAGAAGAAATGGAACCAATGGTGATCTTCATTGCTGATTACAGGACAATTGAAACGGACAAATGCTCCGTGTAGAATCCACTGGTTCGCCATGGATTCAAGTGCACAGAATGCACCTCTGTTTGCTCAATCAGAAGCATTTCTGGCTGTTCGGTTCAGCCACAAAGAATTGGTCCAAGTTGTCGATGATCCAGCATGTATTCTGAAAGATGATATTGTCCCGTTCCTAGTGGCACCTAATCCAGTAGGCTGCCTGTGGTCCATATTCTGACGAGAAGATGATGCCATTGTACGTCCAAGGATTATACGATGGCGCACGTTTTCTCGATTATTCCCGTTGCGCCAGCATTTCAGATCCAGATGGAATTAGCCCAGAAGTAACGCTACATTGCATTGCAGACTTCTACCGGTCAACCGTCCTCAGACTTTGCCGGAGTGTCTATGATTGAAAGTGAAACCCAAAGTATGGACGAGGCGTTAAGGTGTCACTCTGTCGAATTTAAAGGGTAGACGGAACTTCAGGAGATTGACATACTCCGACCATTAACCGCTGTCTATGGACAGTGATGCGCGAAGCAGGACAGCCGACAGACCCAATTGGCCAAGAGTGTTTCAGTGCAGCTGGACCGAGGAATGGGAGTTCCACTTGGCGCCTCTAGAGGGATGGGATCCTGGCTGGCCATGTTGATCACACTCAAGCAATGCGGGACTGCCTACAGATCAACCATTGCAGAGGAGCAACCCAGAGGCGACGATTATTCGCCAGCATATTACTTGCTTGGCCAGAGAACTGGCCATTCTGTCATGATGACTGTGAATGGATCGAATGGATCGAATGGATCTCACAAGGCCTTTCATCCCGAAACCCGGAATCGGGATGATGAGGCCGCCCGCAAATCAGCAATCATGAAAGACTTATTGGAATGGTTCAAAGCCTCAGACTCAATCCTGAACGTGTGTTGGCGGAGAGAAGCCTTCAACGAATTTACATTGTATGATTTGGGGGGAATATAGATCTCTGGTCGACAAGAAGACAACCGACATACTGTGCAGTAATTGAGCTAAAACGCTTTGAGCATCACCACGAAAACCACCTCGAAAACCAGCTGATTAGTTATCAGTTCTCTCTCTCCAGCAGCTAACGGAGAGTGATCTGGTTTTATTGCTTCTACAGGCCCTTTTCTGATCTGACACTGAACTTCTTGCCTTCCCGCAAGGGTAAAAAAAGTCAGTGATGGCATCGTGTTACCGCCGCTTCCTACTGTCTAATATGGTTCTGGTGCAACTTTGCGTCCAGTGGAAAATGTGGAGCTGAGCACTGCTGTTTTTCCCAACCAACTCTCCTCCCACTGCCAGTCATAATGGAGCTGTCGAAAGGGGCTTTGAGCTCCAAGTTTGCTAGTACTTGAGACGGTTCAAAAGCTCCGCTCAGAAAGGAGCCTGTGCCTTTGGATCTTTGAGACCTATCACCGCAAGTGGTCACATTCATTGAGCATTCACCCATCCTTCAGGGAATTAGTCCATTGCCAGATGCTATTCTAGATCGACTCTCTTATCTGAATCATAGTTCACTGTATTGTTGGACCATACAAAACACATCCGCAGCATCCTTAAGCTTGACGATAACCACCCGGGCAAGCTGCTTGTTATTAAAGTCATGCCTGGGTGGATCATGAGATCAAGACTAGGAAGGATCAACGCGATGGAGGTGGTTCTTTTATTAAGAACGAGATTGACGAGCTTAATGATAGTACAAGGGCCAGAGTGGTGTCAGCTGCTTTACGGGGGGAGTCTCTGATGGAAGTCCAAACCAGGAACCCACCTCCCGCAGGCCATCGAGTTGCAGTTCAGGAAAGCCAAGTCCTTCATCTCCAGGCATCAATGCATGAGCGTGACGCATTCCATCGGGACCAGATGCTGAAAGCAGAAAAGAAACATCAGCGTGCTCTGGAATCCAAGGATAAGAAGATTAGCGAACTAGAGGAACGCATTGAGAAATTCAAAGAGGAAGTGAAAACCCTCCAGGGCACGATTTCGCAACGGCCCTTCTCCAGAAACCTATCAATAAGCAGCTTGCTCGATCTGCAAATCTAGTCCTCTCTATCTTCATGAAACGCTTGTAGCTGAGTGAATAAACGCACAGGCGGCCATTCTCCAATCAGTGATCTATTCCCACGCCTTGTTCCTATCTTCGCCTAAGAGTATCTTGATCTTTCTTGTTTAGGTAGCAGGAATAGTAGATATGTCTCAAAGCAATCATGATTGCTTAGCATGCTGTCACCTATGGTAAGTCTAACTTGCCTATCCTCTACTGCAGCCTGTAGGTCTAATACTATAAATCTAATATGGCTATAAGGCATGAGCCTTATATGTTGTGGATAGAGTTTAGGCTTAGGCATGTTATTCATTAAAGGATTTCAGTGATATTTAGTAGCTAATAGAGTCCCTATAGGCATGGAGATTACAATAATTAATTATATTATGATTAGTAAAAAACCTCCCCAAGAATGATGAAATCAGGATGACCACGCTGCTCGACAGTTCGGGCAGGACGGGCTGATAGGATTCCCACGTGGGGTTCGAAATGTACTCTGAGTAGCAAGCCACACGTCGATGCAGGCTTTGTGGTAATTCGTACCGCACTGATTTTTGCAATATACAATGTCGTCAAGGTCAAGGTCGTCTTCTTCGGGGCCATCGTGCTCGTTGTCGGACCCTGCGTCGGACCCTGTTCCCGCATCATTATCGTTTTCCTCATCGCTGTCTTCTGATCCCTCGCCGTCTTCATCACTGTCTTGTCCTCGTAGAGGACACATGCAGATGTCGCAGTCTCCTTCAATTGGCTTCCGAGTGGTCCTTCTGGGCTCACTCTGAGGCACGGTTGGCTCCGCCACATGAGTTGCAACGGCCGGCAATGAAGACTCTGCAGATGTCCGGCGGGGAGAAGGTTCAGGTTCAGGCTCGTCCTCCCTGTCTCCCCCTTCTTCCTCCTCTTCTTCATTTTCAACAATAGCCGACCTCTCCGAGACACGCTGCTCGCCCACTGACCCAGCAGCAAGCAACCGTGCCCGACTCTCAGCTAACTCCCGGAGCGATTTCAACACAGCAGCTAGAACAATCTGCTCCTCGAACGCCCGCAGCTTAGCCCGCCAGCCGCTGACCAGGCTGTCTGCCTGGTTTTGGTGGAAGCGTTTGCAGAGGACTAGCGGGGCTAGCTCGAATAGCAGGCTGTCGACAGATAGGCCGCGCTGGAGGAGTCTGGTGCCCTCTCTGAGAAGGTATGAGGCCCTGTCTCGATTGTCTTTCCTTACTGGCAGCGTGCAGCGGCGCCGTTTGGATGGGGCGTACCCGTAGCAGTGGCGCTCACATTCGGGGTAGACTTCAAGGATGGTAGATAGATCGGGGTAGGACATTGTGCTGCTAGAGGATGATTACTTGACAGTGGGGTGATGTCAATTCTGAGAAGTGTACTCTGTTGACTTGAAGACAACAACCACCACAAGATATCTGGACCTTATATGCCATAACCTTCTATACACCTGCTCAGGACCAACTGAGTCTACCCACCCTCACCATCATGACGACACAGCCACTGGCTAAACTGCACTGACTGTGCCACAGCACGCTATGCGTCTGAAAATATCCAAAGCCAAAAATCGTTAACCTCATGGGGAAAGGCACCAAGGCATCCAAGTTTGAAACCCTGCTTGCTGATATCAACAGCCAATTGCCCTGGCCATGTGCAGCCACATCGCTCATCTTAGGCCGCGCCAGTTCACTGATAATGCAGGCATCGACATTCTTGAGCGCTTACGCAGTTAGCCTTGTGCCAACATTTCAAGGAAGATAGGGGCTTGTATGGTTACATCTGGCAGACGCCCATTCCATAATAGAACAAGTGCGACGGCCCGCCAGGGCGAGAAGTGCGCTATCTGCAAGTTACCACTCGCGTGACTGTAATAAGGTAGTGTTGGTTACTGATATGCCCCATAGTCCGGCGCTTAGCAGGGATCTGATGGCCGCTACCCCAGTCTAGCCTCGTTGCGGATTGATCATTTGGCTGTGCCGTTTGGGCTTTGGGCTTTGGGCTTGGGCATTTGGATGCAGTGCTTGAAATAGCATACAGTCTTTGAGGCGGTGCATTGCTCCCATAGTCAAGGCCGTAATGGGAAACCGCGTTGGTTTGAATCCCACTCTTGTGTGGGGGTGTGAGGTTACTGAGGTGTGGCCATACTTGGTATGGCAGAGATCTGATCATGTGATCTCACTCAGTAGATAGCTCCTTCCACTGTATAATAGTAAACATAGATTTATATATATAATAAATTAATAAAATATCTTTATATTTTAAACCTCTCTCTACTTATTCTATAGGTTATAAGCCTGGAGCCTCTTAGAGAGCTTTAGGGAATTATTCCTAAGTTCTTTCCTTAAGCTATTTTACTACTTTTTACTTTTAAAAGCCTCTTTTAGTGGATATTCCACCTAAAATATTTATCTAGGCTAGATATTCTACCTAAGATAGAAACTATTCTTTTATTATCTTTATTAATAGAGCCCTATAAAAGGTTCTTATATTTAAGAATCCTTATAGGTATAGAAGCCTAATAATTACCCTTAGATATATCTAAAATCTTATTCCCTTAAGGGATGTATCTAAAACCTTATTCTTTTATTTAAATCTTTCTTTAAGATATCTTAAGTAGATCTTAATAAGCTATTATTATTTATAGATATAGATTCCTACTAAATATAATCTAAAGCTATAAAGACTTACCTATATAGCTAGAGGGTCTAGTAGACTATTAATAGAACTTATAAGAAGCTAGAGCTATAAGAAGTAGGCTATTAGACTAGATTATCTAATAATACTAAGCTTTCTAAGTAGTAAGAGAGAATTAAAAAGATAATTTAAGATTAGAAAGAGATAAATAATAAGGCTTATAGTATTATCTATTTTACTCTTTCTTATACTATTAGATATAAAGTAATTAATTTAGAATTATCTAAAGCTATTTAGGATTATCTTAATATAAAATATAATATAATAATAGATATCTAGTCTTTTAAGGGGCTGCAGATAGCTATAAATATAGTATATAATAGCTATAATAAAGTCTAAAATTATATATTAAAACTATTATAAGTACTTAATAAATTTAATTATAGTCTTAAGAAAGATAAGTAGCTTTCTAAATCTATTAAAATCTAATTCTTACTCTATAATCTTAGTAAGATATAGAAGATATTCCTTATATCTTATCTTAATAATTACTATAATAAGAAAACTACTATATTTAATAGTATTATATAAATTCTAATCTAAGAGGAGATGTATATGAAGTTTAATATATTATCTATAAATATTATAAAAGTATAAAAAGGAAAGAAGCTAGCTTAGAAGAATAATAATTCTAAGAATAAATTAAATTAATTAAATTAGTTAAATTAATCTAATTCTAATTCTAATTTAAATAACTAGAAAGATTCTAATAGCAAGGTTCCCTGAGAAACTAGGAAGAACTAGAAGTATTACTATTATAATAAAATAGGCTATAAGAAGCCTAACTACTAGGAGTTAAATCTAGATAAGAAGCCTAATAAGAAGTCTTTATCTAATTAATCTAATAATTATAATTATACTTATATAATAGGCATAAATAGTAAGATATCTAATAGCTAGTATTTAACTACCTTAATACTTAAAGAAATAATACTTATCTTTTATACTATTAATAATAATAATAATAGAGTCCTTCCCTCTATTAATAATAATAATTTAATTAATAATAATAGTATCCTTACCTCTGAACTAAATAAATAAGATATTAAAGATATATAGATAGTAATTATTACTATTAATCTAGCTCTATGCCTATATACTAGTACTAATAATTAGATTATTAACTTAGGAGCTACTAAATACTTTATTATAATATCTATAAACTTTATAGATAGCTTAAGAAAGCCATGTAAATAGGGTATTAAGATAGTAATAGGATAGGTTATATATTCTAATTCTATTAGAGATATTATCTTATATCTTATACATCTAGGTGGATATACTAGATATATTATTATTATTAATATTCTCTATATCCCTAAAGTAGCAGTTAACCTTCTAGATACTATTTAATTAGATTATAAGGGTCTAGAAGTTAATCTTCTACTAGATAATATTATTATTACTTACTTATTAGATAAAATAATTATTAGATATAGAGATATTATCTAGAATACCTATATTCTTTACCTTATRGGAAGYAAYRCYRTRATTAAGGCTRATARGCTAGTTAAAYTAACTAAGCTAGATATACTATTTAAGATATAGCTAATAGTATTCCCTTACTACCCTAAGAGAGGTAATAATTAACTATTCTCTTAGTAAGATTATATACTATAAGAAGATTATAAGTAAGCTAAGTAAGAATTAATAAAATCTTATTTTAATATTAAAATTTATATCTAGACTAGATAAGAGGTCCTAAGTAAGTAATATATATTTATTTTAGATCTACTATATAATAATCATACTAGCACTTATATATTAAAGAAAGATAAGGTTAATTTAATAACTTAGTACTATTATTTTATATATTTATTAATTCCTAATGTTATTTATATATCTAAAATAGTTAATAGAATAGATATTAAGGGACTATTAATTCCTAAGCATGCCTGTAAATCTTATATAGTAGCTAATATAATAGTCTATAAGGGGTATATTACTATATCTTTTATTAAGTAATATAGGGAGTATATCTTTATTAATATTAGTAGTAGCTATAATAATATACTAAATAACTATATTACTAGAGCTTACTACTAGATAATTATTATAGATTAATTTAATAGCTAGGTTACTATCTAATTACTTAAATATAGGTACTAAGTAATACTGCTTATTAAGCTCTTTATTAAAGAAGAAGAGTATATAGGTGTTAAGGTATAAATTATCTATACTAATAATAAAGGAGAATTTATTAAGAAAGAGAATTAAGTATAGGCTAAAGCTAAATCTATTAAATAGGAACTTATAATACTATATACTTATAGTTAGAACCCTATTACAGAATATCTTATGTATATAATATTAATAAAAGTTTATACTATTATTAATAATAAAACCATTCTGCATAAACTCTAGGGTGAAATTATAAAGAGAGTTATTCTAATTAAGAATATCTTACCTATTTAAGATAAGAATATAACTCTATATAAAATATACTTTAATAAACATCCAGATGTCAGCTCTCTGTGGATCTTAGGTTTGGTTAGATATCTTACCATTACTAATAAAATTAAATCTAAGCAGGGTGTTATAAAGATTAATCTATATACTATTGTTAGAGGCATCCAGTAAGCCTTAAAGATATATATATGGAAGCCAGGCATGTTTGACCATAGGGGTCAAACATAGTAGGTCTTTTGCCTCAGTTGGGAACTCACACAGCCTGGCGCGGGGTCTCACAGTATGTTTAACCCCTATGGGTGAGGTGGTGTCAGGGGTTCGATCCCTGGGGGGGTCACCTAATAGACTAACCCTTACTCATAACCATCCCCTAGGGCTGATTCCCTATTGTGATTGGTTAGGGGCCTATATATATATATGAAAAAAGCATGGATTTGCCTAGGCCAAAGAGCCTGCGTCACTGGCTTCCCTTAGAACCTTAGCAGTGAGGCTGAGGGCCTGGGACGTGCCCTAGAAAAGGGGGAGATAACTATTAGAGGCATCCAGTAAGCCTTAAAGATATATATATGGAAGCCAGGCATGTTTAACCATAGGGGTCAAACATAGTAGGTCTTTTGCCTCAGTTAGGAACTCATGCAGCCTGGCGCGGGGTCTCACAACTATTTACTACTATTTAGTTAGCTACACCAGCCTAGGCAAGTAATATATTATTTAGATACTAGTAACTAATAAAGTTAAATATGCCTATAATATTATTTTTAAAGAAGGAAGCAATCTAGATCTCTATAGTAATCTAGATAATAATTATAGTAAATTTATTAATCTACTAGCTATTCCACCTACTGACTATAATCTAAATAAGATTATTAGTGATAATAATTTAGATTAAGATATTATTAAAGGCTAGGATCTAACTATATCTAATCTACCTAGACTAGAGGACAGCATCCCTATACTATAAATATATATAGAGGTAGGTCCTAGCATTGCTAAGGATACTAACTTCCTATATAGAGGCCTTTTTAGTAAGCTAGTAGAAGACCTTCTAGAATATTTCTAGCTAGAAGTAATTTAGCTTATGGAATAGGGGGTGCATTATATTAATACTAAGGCTATAGAAAAATATATATAGAATTATATTATTATTAGGTATATATATATTAGTAATAATTATATTAATATTATTAAGCCTTCTTCCTTTTATAAGGTAATTAATTCTCCTAAAGTAGATAATTAGTAGAATACTATAAAAGTAGAAGTAGATAATCTTATTAAGTAAGATACCTAGATACTTAAGGCCCTACCTACTAGCTATAAGGAGGTTAAGGGGTATTAGATCTATAAGATTAAGATTAGTACTAATAATAAGATTATCTAATTTAAGGTAAGATAGATTACTAAGGGCTATGCCTAGATATCTAGAGTAGACTTTAACTAAATATTTTTCTTTACTATAAAGCTAGCTACTATCTACCTATTCTTTATACTTATAGCTATTCTAGACTATTATTATATTAAGGCAGACATTAAGCTTACTTTCCTATAGGGTAAATTTTTTAATAGTAAAGTTATCTATATAAAGTAGCTACTAGATTTTAATAATAAGTCTAGCTATATATATAGACTATTACTTCCTTTATATAGATTAAAGTAGTCTATATATACCTAATATCTTATCTTCTATAGTAGAGTTACTAAGATTAGATTATAGCTATCTAAGATTAATAAATATCTCTTCTTTAATATCTACAGCATACTCCTTATCTTATATATTAATAATATAAAGATTACTAGACCTTCTAAGTAGATTACTAAGGGGGTATATAAGGCTATTAGTAAACTATTTAATATTTTATTTATCAGCCTAGCTATCTATTATCTAGGTATAAAGATAGACCTAGATATTAAGAAAAGATAGATTAAGCTATCTTAATATACTTACCTTTAATATCTTATTAATATATTTAATCTATATTTAGTTAAAACTATAGTAATACCTATAGAAGAAGGTACTTAGCTAGTTAAATTAGATAAGCTTATTAAATATAATCTTAAACTTAAAGAGAGATATAGAGCAGGAGTTAGCTTAGTTATATATCTAATACTATAGACTAGGCTAGATACTACCTTTACTATTAGGAAGCTAGCTAGATATACTATAAATCTTAATAAATTATATTTTAAGTATCTTATTTATCTTATTTAATTCTTTTATTAAACCCTAGATATCAGAATTATCTATAAGCCTTATAATATAAAAGATATTATATATAAGCTAGGTATTATTATTAGCTATATTAATATAGATTATATAGAATATATTAATATATACTATTTAACTACTAGATATATCTTTATATTTAGTAATAGACCTATCTTATAGGCTTCTAAGCTATAATTAGTTATCTCTTTATCTATATATAAGGCTAAATATATTACTATTATTTATACTATAAAGAAAGCTATCTAGCTTACCTATCTTCTTAAAGATATTAGCTTTAATAGTATATACCCTATATAGATTAATACTAATAGTTAGCCTACTATAGACCTAGTCTATAATACTTAATTCCATGCTTATAGTAAGCATATTAATATTAATTATTATTAGATTAGAGATATAATAGTTAAAAAGTAGGTCTTCCTATAGTATCTTTTAATAGATAAAATAATTATAGATCTTATAATAAAGCTACTTAATTATCTAAAGTTTAATTAATTCTTTAAGGCACTAGGCTTAGCCTAGTAGAGTACTATAAATAGTAGATCTTAATACTATAATTATAGATTAACTACCTAATTAGGAAGTGGCTACAACCTTATTAATTAAATCTAGGGGTATATAGCTATACTTAGTATAGCAGAGATCTAATTATATAATCTTACTCAGTAGATAGCTCCTTTCACTATATAATAGTAAATATAGATTTACATACATAATGAATTAACAAAATATCTTCATATTTTGAACCTCTCTCTGCTCATTCTACATGAGGTATATTGGGGTTTGACTGAGACTTTGGTGCAACTGGGTTTTACTAAGTATGATATGCTATGCTCAGAATAGCCCTAATGCCAATCAATGTATGTTGTCGGTTTGATTTCTGAACCACTGTATCTTTCTAGGGATGTGGTGGGCAAGCAGCTGGGGATGGCAAAGACCCGGCGGGATGGCATACGATGCTGTTTGTACTTGGAACGGGCTACCGTGTGTCCTAATGTGAGACCGCTCATCCTGTCATTGGCTAATGGCGCAATCGATACTACCTACTCCGTCTAGGTCCTAGATCGTGTGAGATGACCAAAGGGTCTGATGGGGGAAAAAGAAAGACAAAAAAAAGAAAAAGATAATGACAAGAGTGGGATTCGAACCCACGCGGTTTCCCATTACGGCCTAAACGTAACTGGGTGATTATTAGCTTAATGTTGAGAGTTAAAACGGGCAACACGATATTCTTACCGCCTTAACCACTCGGCCATCTTGCCCGGTTACGATTACCGACGTATATTTGAATTATATGTCGAGTTTTGGCCCTTCCGCCCAGGGGAACGATAACATGTCGATTATTAAAGGGACTCAGAATCAAGATCGTTTATAATAGTTCAGTCTGAGTCTGCCTGAAATGATGCCCTCTTTCGTCAATAATATGATAGTATATCAATACGTGGCTCATGGCATATTGATTGCTGCCTAATATATCCAAGCCCGATTATATATACTTTACCTTGGGCATGTCACGCTTTGGTTATTTCATGGATATCAATGTGTCCGGAAGAAAGTAATGGTATGAGGTAATTGACCCTTGAATGTTTAGAAGCGAAGGTTGCATTGCTCGCCTCAATACTCAGTTGATAAGATCTGCAGCCGGACATAGCAACCAGGCATCATCCCTTAGAATATAAGGACACCGTTTATAATCTACAAAGTTATCGGACTGAACAATGTCACACCCCTAGTGGTTTGAAGAGTACCCATTCTTAAGCTTTCAATAGACACATCGACGCCGATATCCACCACGAACTCGACATCCGATAAATGAGCGCAGGACAATTAGTAGTTGCCATTCCTTCCAGCCATATGCACCATGTTTTAATCACATGTACCAATGGCACCAAAGGTTTGGTCGTCCTGAGTCGTAGGAATCTTAGCCTGCCAGGAATCAGCCATGGTAGCCATACCATTGTGCACCACCACGTCAGACCTCAGCTTCTTCCTCTGTAAGGAGCGCCATACAATACAGATGGCATGACTAACCAGTATAGAGTTGGTCGATATTAATTTTATCCCTGTACGTGGATGTTCGTCCATTGCGTCAGCGATAGTTGTACCAAGCCTTGTTTCCATATGAGTGACTCGAGCATGTACCGTTATATGGTGGAACACTCGTGTTCTGTTTGCAGAGATAACTTGTTGGGATACTCGTGTGTGCGTTTGGTTGTGAGTGTGGGCGCTCGCCTGGGAGCTTTCGTCCGATATCGAAAACTTGATGATTGAAGTGGGAACGCTCGTTTCATACGTCTGGTTTGTGGATAAGAAACTGATGGTCAGCCTTCGATACATCATGATTGCCAGGCAAGGAACGATGTCACTAACCAAGTCATTTCGAAACTTCCCTTGTGAATATTGAACATCTTCATTCCATAAAACATAACCATGGTATTGAAGCGAAGTAATCGTCTGGTAGAAGTTAGAACCAGAAGGAACGGCTTCCGGGGTCCAAGAACTTAGCCTTCGGCAACAACCTTGATTTGAGAACCTTCGTGCCGGGCCGTTTCCGGTCACTTGCGTTGTCTCCAGTCCTATTTTCCTTCCCCAAGCAGTCGGGATATACCGACCGGATCAGTGAAAAAAAGGAGTTAAGTGGCAAAGCCACCAATCTGCGGAAGATTCAAAGATCCTGACCACGGTTAGCCATATACGTTCAAATACGTTGGAGTGAGTATTATATCATCACTCCTATTCCATCCGGAAGACTCAGAAACAAGCAGGTAGCTAGTGTCGATTAGGGACAGGCGCCTCGTCATCAACCTTGTCCCTCCCAAAGAACGCACAGCGGGCAAGCCATTCAAGTCCGTTATCATGAAGCCGTTGTTCCCGTGCATTCAGAAGACCGGGTTTCTTGTCAGGCAAGGTCAGGTTATGTGTTCGTTTGAGATGTCGGACCAGCTTGCTTGGTTCTTCGAAAGGAGTCTAAAGACAGTCAGGGTTAGCATTGATCACCAGCAAGTGGAAACTCCATACTGACCTTACGCTGGCACCCAGACCAGCGACAGAACCCCTCACCCTATAGACCACTGGATTCTCCGCATTGATAGCAGGCCACTCATCTGAGTACATCCGAATCTGTGCATAGGAGGTATACCCATCTGTTGATCTATTTTCACTCGGAAAAGATTCGAGTGGAAATTAGGGGGGGGTGTTGCGGGATTCAGTCGCCTCCAACAGTTCATTTGTTGCACCTGCTAGGTCCTGCTTTATCAAGCTGATAACCTGGATGATTTTAACAAACTCTGCTGTGTCGTAAGGCGTTTCATCAGGATCTATCTCACGTCTTAGCAGCTGTACAGCTGCTTGAGCATCCGCTTCTCTAAAGACTCGTGGTACCTCGACGTAGAACCTCAGTGTGATTCTAATATCAAAGTATGGTGTGAAGAGGTCGGCAAATATAAATGGATTTGTAAATATACCATCCCATCCATTCACAACCATAATGACAGAACGGCTGGTTTCCCTGGCCTTACTGAGTTCTTCTAACAGTCGAGTAACCAAGTGTCCTTGAGGCCGGAAAGCCTCAGAAGACTGGATGAACGTAAGAAAAGTTGGCTCCTGAGAAAGAATCCCATACGTCTGTTCATAAGACCTACGGGTGAATTCCAGGCTCCGCAGAAGGTAGTCATGCGTCGCTTCGGCACTACCCTGATGGTTCTTAGAAGCACGCGCAATGAAAATCACAATTGGTTCCATGCTTCTTTCGAAGGAATGAAACCCGAGAATTGGTATGATTTCTCTAAAGCGACACTGGAAGTATCTAGTAAAGAAAGCAAAAGTTCTCAACAAATTGTGATCTTGAGGAAAGGAAAGGAAAGGAAAAGAAGGAGAGAAGAAGGGAAGGCGAGACAACCTGAGAAGTCCGAGCTGGGTGCCGCCGGGGGAGGGGCCCGTGACTCTCACTGATTCGTTAAGGCCCTCAGGCAAAACACCACTCTGGGAAGGTGCTGTATCTCAGATTGTCTCGACTAAGGTAGGTACAGTAGCTTGGATCTTGATGAATGTAACTGTCGTTCGGATATGCATTGGAGATGACGGGATTGATATACTCTGTGAAATTAGCCGTCACAATACCTCTTGTATTATCAACGCCATTGAAGACCGGATTAATCAGGCTGTGAATCTAGTTTTCGACCTTGCTTGCAGTGGTGGATTGACTCATGCTAGAGTGTCCTATGTAGGCATAACTCCACGTCATCTATATACTACGACCCTAGGAAGGTGTTATGTGACAACATGAGGACTGTCCCCGTAGGATCTCCATGAGGATAATCAAGAATCTATGCTATCATTAGTGGATGTAGCAAAGGTACGGTTGCGTTTGATTCCTTCGTGTATGATGATTAATCGTAGTCGACACTGTTCATAAATAAGACTACCTAGACTTGCATTGGATCACAATTCCATGGCTCCAGCGAATTGTATTGGCCGGAAGATCAGGCGATTATGGGCTCCAAACAACGAGTCCTCTAAAGACTCTCTATGTCTGGAAGAATTTTTTCGGCGTATGAGTTAGAACTGGAAACTGAAACAAGTTCTTAACTCATCAAGCTGTAGATAGGGATAGACTAAATGATGCTGGATACATAATGATGGTCAATCCTAAAAGAATAAACAAGTCTAATTAAGGCATCCATAATGCCGTACCTCAAACAATAAGTAATTTATATTTACTTGACACCAAAGTTTCCTACAAATGTCAGTCATATTTTGACTAACTTACGTCAAATGAAACTAGGTAGGCAGGCCTTAACTACGTCTGTGTATTCGAGCACTCGCCCTCAATTGATGGTTCAGAATGCATCTGCTATAGCACATTAATGTACTGTTGCACTATTAGAAAGTAGGAAAGGTAATGGCCTTTTTTGCTCGTCCGTTAATGAGAATTGGTACCTGATGGACGGTCTCGGCGGATTGCTTCAACTTGACCGCTAGACCGCATTAGCTAATTGTCTGAGAAGAATGATCTACTGCCTCAGGGAATGAAAACCTACAAGATAGCACGAGTCAGTCAGCTTTGGCAAAGTCATGCATTCTTACCTCTTCGGACTCCCTGGGTTATCCAAGTTGGAACATCCAAGGGACGGTCCCTTCCCCATTCCCTAGGATCACCCACGTCCCCAGTGATCGAATAAGAGGAACGATAGAAGCCCCTAAGAAATCACGGACAGTCAGTGCAACTTCCCTGGCTCCCTAAGTGACACTCTACGTCATCAGTACCACAAGACTGCTGAACCCGCCTGCTGTCTAGATTCATCATCTGAATTTCACTTTTCTCCCAATACCAAATCACCACACGCCTAGTCAAATGGCCACTACCTCTCCTGAATACTAGCAAACACATATGACATGCATGATGCATCTATATAGGCAGGCCTGCAGCCCCGGAAATCCATGGTCATATAGTCAGTTACTCATGAATCCGCAGAAGAGGGAAAAAGCGAGAGAAAGAACTTTAAGCACTACTTCTATTCAAGATCTATACCACGTTGCTCAATGGAAACTAAATGCAAGGCCACACAGTAGCTTCCCTGCCCTCCAATTGCTGCTATCCGGGCCTATTGCAAGATCTAAACCATCGACTTTTCCACGTTCAGGTGACATGTTGCTTGGGTCTCGGACCTGCTCATGGTGGTATATCGACTAAAGTCCCGGAGCATCCTCTCTCTGCCATTGTCCTTTGGACTGCTCCTTCTGAAATAAATGCGCTTGCACCACTTCCAAGCCTCGCAACCAAGGAAGAAAAGAATCGCTTCGACAAACACAACACCCCACTCCCAGGAGATCCCGACATGTTTGAAAACAACGTCATTGATGACAGGGATGTACAGGACAGGGAAGATCGTGATGAATCCGATCATGATGCCGCTGAACAGAAACTTGTTCCGCCAGACGTCAAACATCCATTGGGTGAAATAGCGCTTTGAACCAGGCTGCATACGGAAGAAGCTGCGGCGCATATCGATCATCTCCCAGGCAAGGAAGAGAGCGAACCAGGTCATGCACACAAAGGTGGTGGCTCGGGCGCGGAACACACCGTCGCATTGTGGGCTGTAGTGGCTGTTGCAGCCTGAGGCCAGGTTGCCATCTCCCCAGGCGAAGAGGACGAGCGAGAAAGAGGCGAGACAGAGAGCCGCCATCCAGACGCCGTAGACGATGGTGTCGACAATGACTTCCCAGGTGAAAATACCTTGTTTCTGCTGTCGTCAGTCTGATATCAACATCAATGAGTCACTAATGTACTTACGCTTTGAGGAGGACGGTCCATGATATCTGGAGCGGCGATTTCCATGCCCAATCCCATGTCAGGGAGACCGGAGGTGATCATGATGATCCACAGAATTTCAACAGGAGCAATAGGAAACACAGATTGCCCGTTGTCATCTTTGAAACAGAGACCGATCAGAAGCGTGAGGGCGAGACCGACGTTTTCCGCCAAAAGATGCAAGACGAATTTCTGAATATTATCGAAAATACGACGACCCTCCTCAATCCCGTTGATAATTGAAGCAAAGTTATCGTCAGTCAAAACTAGTTCCGATGCATCCTTGGCCACATCAGACCCTGATTGTCCCATAGCGATTCCAACATCCGCCCGCTTCAAGGACGGCGAGTCATTGACTCCATCACCGGTCATTGCCGCAAACTGACCCCGACGATGAAGGGCATCAATCATCCGAACCTTTGTATTGGGAGCGCACCGAGCAATCACAGCGGGGAGAGTAGGCAACTCATCGATTTCCTCATCCGTCAGTTTGTCGAACTGACTGGCAGTCATCACCATGGCATCCGCAACATCTTTTGCAAGGCTGTCCATGTTCGCTGGAATGATGCCGACCTGCGCTGCAATGGCTCGCGCAGTACCGGGATGGTCGCCCGTGACCATGTGGACCGAGATCCCAGCACGATAGCACTCTTCAATAGCGCCGGCAGTCTCAGGCCGGGGAGGATCATACAGGCCGATGAGTCCACAGAAAGTGAGATCTTTCTCCACATCTTCACGAGCAGGGACATCTTCCCCTTTGACGGGTTGGTGATTCTCCCGGCAGGCGAGGCAGAGTACCCGCAAGCCCTCCTTTGCGAGAGCCTCCATGTTCTGTAAGATTTCCTCCTTGATGTTCTCATCCAATGCAATTGGGTCGGAACCAGCTGTCCAGGTGACGGTGGTGCAAGCCTCGAGGACCCGTTCCACCGCGCCCTTGGTGAAGATCATCTCCCGGTCATCGTTGCTGTTCTTGAAGATGACGGACATCTTCTTCACGGTGGAATCGAACGGATATTCTGCTTTTTGGCGCCAAACAGGCATCTCGCCTTTGGTCCAGCGATCGCGTCCCCAATTAAAGCGAGAGGCAAATACCTGAATTGCAATATCGGTGGGTTCACCACGGGCCTGCCATTCGTTATGCTCGGACTTGTGCACATGGGCCAGGTTGGCCATTGCAGCCACGTTCAAATATTGCTCCAGAAGAGGATTGTCCTTGAGCAGATCGTCCGGACTGGAAGGCTCTCCCTGAGCATCAGGACCAACTTTGACCGGCGGGTCAGGCAGCAGGCTCAGGTCTCCCTCTTCCGGGTTCAAAGGGTTATTAGAAGACCCAACCGAGAAGGTGCCAACAGAGGGAATCCAAGCCCGCTTGGCGACCATGCGCCCCTGGGTGAGGGTTCCCGTTTTGTCTGAGCAAATGTTAGTCACAGCGCCCAGGGCTTCAAGGGAATCAAGCTTCCGGACAATGACATGTCTTTCAACCATTTGCTTGGTGCCAACCGCCATGGTGATGGTCAGGACCACTACCAGGCAGGCAGGAATCATTGCAAGACCCGTCGCGACTGCGTAGATGATGACCTCCTTGTCATTGCGGAACCCATTGACGCCCATGACAATAATGGCGAAGATGACGGCAATGACGAAAAGCGCCAAAGCCAGTTTAGAGAGTTTGCGTTGCAGCGGTGTGCCAACGTTGATTCCAAGGAATCGTCCCACGGCGTCTGTGCAGGTCAGGGTCCATGCCTGCACGTACCATCGTTTCTTGGTTTCTCCCTCGGGACCGCGCTTGACGGGCCGCTTCTTGGAGTCGCTGGCGCGAAGGGCGGCGGCGATGGCTCCAATCTCTGTGTGCATCCCGGTGCCGATGACAACGCCCCGAGCACGGCCTCTTGTCACCGTCGAGGAACTATACGCGATGTTCAACCGATCCCCTGGCCCCGTGTCCGGGTCAAAAGTTGTATCGACCTCTTTCTGCACTGGCAGCGACTCGCCAGTCAGGAGGGCCTCGTCGGTTTCGAAATTCATAGCATCAACGAGCCTATCAACTGTTAGCGAACAGAACGGTGCCTGTCTGGTAACCTCATACGCACCGAAGATCTGCAGGAACCGTGTCTCCAACCTTGAGTTCAACCATGTCCCCAGGGACAATCTCGTTGGCAGGAATGGTATTGGTTTTGCCATCGCGCGTGACGGTTCCGGTGGGAGAACTCAATGATCGAAGGGAGTCCATCGTTTTCTCTGCGGCATAGTCTTGATAGACACCTACAACGATGTTTAGAGCGATGACAGCTCCAATGACACCGCCTTCGATCCAGGATTGAATGCCGAAACTGACCGCCATGGCGATGATAAGGACCTGCTGTCGTCAGTTGTCTGTCATGATCTGTCTAACAATGGAGAGACTAACCAGAATCATGGCATTTGCAATCTGCCTAATGACAATCTTGACCATTGAAACACCCTCTCCCCCTTCCAGCTCATTCGGACCATACTGTTGGAGTCTTCGCTTCGCCTCCTCCAATGTCAGACCCTCGTCTGGATCGACGGCCAGCTCACGAAGGACATCTTCATAGCGAAGAGCATGAGCAGGCTGAGACAAAGCCTGAGAGTTGTCAGAGATTTGTTTCTTCCGAGTACCCATGTTATAACGAAAGTTCTATTCTAGTGAAGTTATCTTAAGGAGGCTTCATGTATATGGTATCTTCAAGCGAGTGAGAGTCCATACACAATGACTTGAAATCAACTTTGAAACTAAAGCCTAGATTGCAGAACCAGATTTTCTTTCTCCTCCCTTACGGGGGGGGGTATCGCGACGACCCCCCATGACGCGAACTGTGGTTCCAATCTTGGCATCCTTATCTCTCCGTACTCGTTTACACTACACACCAATCACATCTCCAACCCATCGCATACATAAGAGGCAATCGATCTAGAGTCTTGGCCGAATTCCTTGGGTCGGTGCGCGAGCGTTTGCCGCCTCCCGGCCCGATGACGCATACGACATCAGGACACGGCTGATATCTCACCCACGTGAGCACCTTCGGCCGGGTGATACCAAGAAACCGCCAAGCCTCACGGCGAATAAGTGGCCAATCCTTTCGGAGTAATTGGTCTGATTGGCTGAGCAACCCGGCCACGGGGCAATCCGGAACCACCGTGCCAAGAGCGGGAGCCTTGGCGGCCTTGGGGGTTATTTCCCGCCTGGATGGTCCTGGGGGTCCTTGGTGGCCTGAGAGCCAGTGGCAGCCCTAAATGCAGGCTCGTCCCCCTCGCCAGACGACGCCCGACGCCCAACACGGCCTGTGCTATTTTCCCTAGTGTTTTCGCTCTATGTGGATGTTGGTTTTCTGAATGGCTGTCTGTTATCCTCCCCTCCTCGGTCCCCACACCAGTGATTGTGTTTTGTTTCGACGGGCTTCGTCAAAGGTGCGCAGGCGCTCGCTTTGAACTGATTGCGCATATATTCTGGCTTGTTGAGGCTCGCCGATTTACCCGGTTACGTGTCGTCCGTGGGCTGTTGGGGTTTGGTCCGTTGTTTCTCATTTTGACTATACTCTTCGCCTACGAAGTGAGTGTCTATGGCTAGCAATGGCGAGATCGCAGGTGTAGTCGCGGGAGCAGTCGCCATATTCGTCGCCATTAGTGGGATACCTATGTGAGTTTCGACCTGTCCTCCACTTCGCTGGGAATGTCCTGTAATTTTCTATACGCTTCGTTACGAGAGTCCAGAACGCTGGAATCCGACAAACAAAGAGATCCACAACTGACAAACTTGGAACACAGCATTATCATGTGGCGGCACCGAAGGAAAGAGGCTGCAAGAAGAGCCCGCGAGCTGGCCGCACTGCGAGAGTATGGCTGCATGCGACAGGTGGGCGTGGAGAGATGGCTGGAAGAGCAGCGGAGGGATACCGTTGCGTGCATCCGAAGCAACAACACCAACAATAATGTCCATGATTTTGGACGGTACGCGCAAGAACCGTGGTAAGTCCCCTTCCCAGACTATCGGCCTCTTCCTTTTTTTTCTTGGCCTTGGAGACAATGCGGGGACAGGGCTGCACTAGTGGCCTTGGCTGCTCTCATCAGTGAGACATCGTCAATCCGTGATCACGCCCGTCACTAATGAGTAATGGTGGGTTTGTTCTCAAAGTGCCGTCTGCCTCTCGATCCTGCTACCCTCGTCGCCGTCCCAATCATCGCTTCCGTGCTCGGATCCAGAGCGTCACCCACAGAGCACATCTGATCTGGGTCCTCCTGCGGAGGCATCTCTGCTCGTTCTCAAACGCTGTGGCCATGCGTTTCATTACTCCTGTCTTGCGTCATGGTGGAAATACCGTCCGTACAGGTGCCCAGTATGTCAGGCATCGTACGCCCCGGAGGAATGACATTCAAATCTTTGCTTGCTTTTGTTGCCTTCTTCCAAGTTGGCTGGACTTTCTTGGAACCGCGGTTAGCGCTTATTTAGCTTTTGCACTGGCTTGTCATGTAAAATCACTATCCACTATCCAGTACGGCAATTTTGACTTGGCCTAATGACGAAAAGCAGATTGAAGAAGGTCGGTGTTGAGTGAGTTGTAAAACGCTATAGGCAGCACTGAATAAGGTTGTAAATTCTATAGTCCCTCAAATGGATGTTCCTCAAGTCTTCGATCCGCCGAGAAGGCTCGTCGTGAAGCACTGAAGCAACTTAATTCCCCAACATCCACTGAGACATTCGAAGAGATGTGGTTTAAACTCGGTCCAATCGTGATTCAAAGAGCACCGGTTCAAACCCCATATCAAATCAAACTCTAAATGCACTAGAGGCATGGAAATAGCTCAGATATCAGTGTCTCCGCATCTCAAGTCATGCGCCCCAGACCATTCGGGTAAGGCAAAATCCTGCAGCTTAGACTCTTGCAGTCAAGTCGACGACTAGCCGTATCCTGGGCACTTTTTGCCAAGATTATCGCTGGTTTTCGAACATTCTCGAAGTTTCTGTTGATCCAAAAGAGTCAATCAGATTGGCCATCATTGCATTGGGTCAATCAGCGTGGTAATATGGGAGTTGCTTCTGAGAATACGCGAAAAGGTCACTCCCGCGAATAATCTCGTCAAAACGTCGGCTGACACGGCTGTAGTTCTGCCCATACCATCCCAACTCTCATACCCGGATAGACATCCAATCCTGGTAAATCCTGTCAGCGGTAGCCACACCTGCCATGAAGAGCGGCCACGTGATGCGCACCATGAGATGCGGTCTGCTTCGATGGAGCTTCAGGGATAGCTCTAGGGCTAGGGAAACGGCCTTTTCTTGCGACATCAACATAGTCTGCGGAGGTATACAATCGTGCTGTAATACGTGATGGCAGCCCAATAGATTGTCTCCATCACACGGCGCCCGTCTCCCACGATATCACACGACGGGGCGGCTTTTGCCGAAGAGAGAAGCATTTCGAAATCCTAGCATGGTCATGTCAGTCTGAGCAGAAACATGTGTCTGAACGGTCGGGTCTTTCATTGGCTATTTTGATTATCTCATCAACGATCTGCTGATAAGGTGCTTCGTTCCACGAGGTGTTTCTTGCTTGTCGAAATAGCTCTGTGATCCTGAATTGAACCACATGGCTTTTATGGTAAAGGGCTAAGCCGGGATAGTTTTCCATATCATCTAGTTGTGCTTTGGCTGGGTAGGCTTCTCCCCAGAACTTCGAAGGCGACTGTCTACTGATGCGATAGAGGTTCTCTAGGTTCAATGGCGTGTTTCCATCTTCCGCACGAAGGAAGAGTCGGAAGAGACGGTAGAGTTCATCGTTGACTTTCTCAAACCCTGGGTCATGTACAGCGCCAGGTCCAAAGAAAAGCTTCCCTGGCGTAAAGAAGTAGAGGGTCCACAGCAGGAATAGAGGCACCGCCGTATAAGCTAACCTCCCGTCAGATGGACCAGCTACCGAATCGACTGGACTGCTGGCAGCTCTCTCGATCAAGCTCGCACCCTTTTGTGAAACAACAAATTCGCCGTTTCAGGACTCCCGGCGGTAATTGCAGCCAAACACTCCTCGAGTTTCAGCAGAGGTAATATATGGTTATGCAGTATGCTTCCGATGCCTCGCAAATGGATGCTTAGAGGCGCCACTTCCAACCGATTCTCATAATCGACCATCAGCCACAACGTTATAGAAATCGCCTCGAGCTTCGACGGGGTCTTCGCGCCTTCAGCGAGCGCTTCACGGAGTCTGGACAACGCTGTACCATAGTGTACCCTGCCATCGATGTCGGACGAATCATTGGCGGGGAAGTACACGTGTACTGGAGCAATCGTGGAGACGTGATCGATGGATTTCACTGGCAGTCGTGGCGAGGATCATACTCATCACCATAGGTTCCTTGACGGCTACTCTATGGTAGGTGTAGGAGATGGTGGACCACAGCCAATGTTTGCCGAGTATAGTGACTAGGGCAGAATCTTGAAGATAGTTCAAGCGAGACCGGTCGGAACCCGAGAGGACAAGCGAATTAGCAGCTTGCAGGCTACTCTCATGGGTGCAAGCAGGAAGCACGGCAGTTTGCAAGTCAGCCAGCCTCCTCATCGAGCCAGGCGAGCTAGCATGGGTCCCTGACTCCAGACTCTTCCTATGTACTGTCGTTGACCGACGAGGGATCGATCCACCCTTCCATTCGCAGGCGATTCGCGCGACCGAACACCGCCTGCATTGGGGTTCCTTCTTATTGTCGACGACAATCCGCTCCTCATCGCATTTCACTTTTCGGATTCGACACGTACGGCAACCTGCATTCTATGAAAATCGCTGACATGCCAAAGAGTGAGTATCATACCAGTCTTGGAACGTGCTTTTCGGCCAGTCTTGTACATATTGAACTGTTGAACAGCCAAAACCGCTCGCACCAGACAAGTCGATGACTGGCATTAATTTCGACCCTCAGGGCGCCGAGGTATCAGGTATGTGTACTCGGTTCATCAAACTGAGGGAACCTGGGCTGATGGATGCAGAGTGGGTTTCAGGCGGTCATTGTTTGTTTTGTGGTTGTGGTGGTGGTGGCACTTGTGTTGGGGGTGTATTTGCGGTGGGAGAATCGGAGGAGAGATAGGGTTGCTGGTCCTGTTGAGGATGCGGAGAAGCCCATGGAATTGGTGGATATTACTGATCTGACAAATATGCAGTTCAGATATGTCTATTAGAGCTGACCTGATATGCTAAGAAGAAAATCTATTCTCGTGCTATCGTATAGGACTAGAACCCTTTTTATATAATAACATAACATGCTAAAATCAATTCTAATTTTGACACAATCATTGAGCAGAAACGACCATCTTGTCCTTGACATAGAGATCAACGTACTTGTCAACATCGTAGTTCTCTAGAGTAGAACGGTCCAAGCCAACTTGCAGAAGCTCGTCAATACGGGCCTGGTCGAAGTGGGACTCCAGGTGGCGCTTGTACTTGGACAAAATCTCGGGCTTGGCCTCCTCACGTCTGAAGCGGTGTCCCAGGGGAGCCTCAACAACGACCGCCTCGAGAACAGTGCCGTCCTTCAGGGTAACAGTCAGAGCGTTGGGGATGGTGCGCTTGGCAGGGTCGTGGTAGTCACGGGTGAACTGAGGGTCCTCCACACAGCGGATGCGCTTGCGCAGGTCCTCAACCAGAGGCGAGGTGGCGGCCTCGGAGCCGTCAGCGTAGTCCTCGGCGGTCAGGCGGTTGAAGGCCAGCATGGTGGCAACCATGTACTTGAATCAAGATTAGCAAAGCTTCCGAGGCCGTGTTCGAGCTGAAAACATACCTGGACACAGTGGTCACGGTCCGCAAAGTTGTCCATAGCCTTGAACTGCTTGTCGATAATCCGGATGCAAGCCTCATGGGTCCGGTTGGTGATTTCCTTGATGTCCTTGGCGCTCTTGCCCATAGCTGCCAGCTTCCTGTTGATAATCTGCGCGCACTCAATGGCGGTCTGAGAGTGGAACTCGGCTGCCAAAGATTAATAAGGAACTCGTCAAATTCTCATTTCCGCTGACTTACCTGGGTAGGAAACCTTGAAAAGGACGTTCTCCATGACGTAGCTGCCGTAAGGGCGCTGGAACTTGAACTTGTTGCCCTTGAACAGAACGTCATAGAAACCCCAGACGGGGGCGGACAGGACAGTGGGAACACCGCCCTCACCCTTCTGTACCTTTAGGACAAGGTTGACAGCACGCTGGCAAGCATCACCAGCAGCCCACGACTTTCTGGACATGGTGTTGGGGGAGTGTCTGTAGGTACGGAGACTCTGGCCGTCCACCCAAGCCTGGGTGATGGCATCGGCGGTCTGCTTCTCGTTGAGACCGAGCATCTTGGCAACCACAGCAGTGGTGGCAACCTTGACCAGCACAACGTGGTCCAGGCCGACCCTGTTGTACGAATTCTCCAGGGCCAGAACACCCTGGATTTCGTGGGCCTTGATCATAGCCTCCAGCACTTCCTTGACCTTCACAATCTTGCCATTTCCGAGGTTACCTCCGGCACGGTTGGTGCGGGAGATCCAGTCAGCGACAGCGAGAATACCGCCCAGGTTGTCGGAGGGGTGACCCCATTCGGCGGCAAGCCAGCAGTCATTGTAGTCAAGCCACCGGATCATGGCACCAATGTTGAAGGCACCATTGACAGGGTCCAGTTGGTAGGGAGTACCAGGGACACGGGTACCGTTAGGGACAACAGTACCCTCCACAACGGGGCCCAACAGCTTGGTGCATTCCTTGAATCTCAAGGCCTCCAATCCGCAACCCAGGGTGTCAAGGAAGACCAGACGGGCAGTGTCATACTAAATCAAATCAATGCATGAGTTACTTCCTTCCAGCGATGCGAATTAAGTAACCAATTTCCCGCCTCAATTGATAAATTTCATATTGGGGCCAAAGAAATCAAGTTTGTGCAAGGGAGAAGCCAATGGACCCATACCGCCAAATCAGAGTTCACACTGTAGTTGTGAACATAATCAGCCATATCCTTGATCTCGGGATCATAGCTCCTCTCTGTTGGAGCAGAGGGAGCACCATGCTGAAGAACAGTCATTGTCGAGAACTGTGAAACTCGGGGAGCGCAAGAGTTGACGGCCTTGGTGAAGGAGTTGAGAGCGACAATGCGGGAGGAGGGCCTGGAGACGGAGACGATGCGGGATGGCAAAGTGCGGGGAGACCTGTGGGTCAGCCGTCTCAGCGCGGAACACGAGGCAGACATGATGGTAAGGAGAAGGGAAAGAAAGAGGATGCAATACTCAGGAGACAGAAGGAGAGAAGAGGAGAGGAGAAGAGTTGTAATTAAGGATGGTCGCTTAGCAATGGAGGAGGAGGAAAGGAAAGAAGGGGAGAAAAGAAGGAGAAAAGGGACGGCGAGGGATAATTGTTGAGCGGAGTTCGAACTTCTTGCTGGACCGAGGCCAGTTCTGTTCGTTGTCCTGCGGTTACTCCCGGCTATCCGAATGCACACGGTAAAATGGCCAGAAGTTGAGCCTTCATCTTCGGAGTACTAATGGTCAAACTGTCCAGACTTTCCTCCGGTGTCGGAAAATCGCATTGATTCCTGATTCATTCGAAAACTCCCATTCGAAAACTCCAGATCTGTGGTGATTCTACATTGCATACTGAACAGCACCCAACTGTCATGATTATGGTGCTGCTCGGCTTCATTGGAAAACACTACGGATTCCATATTTTGACACCAGCTTGATTTTTCCACTATCACTCAAGAGCTGTTCAACAGTGCGATGTTCTGACTCGCTGTTTGACTGAGAATCGAGCGTCATCATTCTCTGTCGGTGGTGATGGTCATAATCATCCCTTGGAGCTCCCCGCGGTCGGACGGCATCTTTTCCATTTCCGAGGCTATAGCTGAACTCCATATAATGGACAGAGCATGTGGATCAACCGACTGGCGATCAATTGACTACACAGTGACCAGTATGGTGGAGGAAACCTCCCTCTTTTGACAGGGTTTCAAACAGTCGCTTTGTATGAACTGAACAAGGACCAAGATTTATCATCTACCACAGAATGAATATGAATCGAAGAAACCAACGACTTTGCCCTCGTCAGGGATCCCCAGCTCTGAATTCTTGCTCGTCTGTACGCTGCAACGACTTGATGATCTCTCGGTAAATCGCTTTGGACAGCGCAGGAGGGACGGCATTTCCGATTTGCTTCCGAACTTCTCGTGCAAAGCGATAGTCTAACGGAAACGTCTGCAGACAGGCGAATTCGCGGTTTGTAAAGCCCCGTGTGCCGGACGGATGGTAGTTGTTCTCCCCGCCGCCGCAGGTCACGGTTTTGGCCTGCTGGTTCGCGTCGAAGGGGACCCTCGTTCCATTCCGCAGTCCTCGGCTCCTGGCACCTTCGATATCGTGATCCGGGGCATCTGGAGGGATGTTCGCTATCATCTGGTTGATCGTGGTGTAATCGAAAAGGCCCGATCCGGGCAGCCCGTGTGTGGGCTTCGGAAACGGTGGCAACAATTCACCTGGTCTAGAAAAGATATCAGCTTCTACACATTGGAAAGCCAGGAGAGGACAGACAGGAGAACAATACGAGCGCAGGGTGCTTACCCGGAGGCAATAATGATGAGCCTTCTTCGTGATTGCGGCACCCCGTAGTCCATGCAATTCAGGATTCTCCAACGAACAGAGTAGCCGATCTCTATAAAATCTTGAATGACTCTGTGAAAGGTTTCCTTGTGGCGATCAAAAAGTCCGCTCGTCTCCTCCATTGTGTGCACTCTGGGCTTCGATTTCTTAATCATGTCCGCACAGGAGAAGATGCACGCTGAATTAGCATCGTCATTCACACTGCTGATTGTATGGGCTGGAGAAAACGTCTGACACGGAGGAGAACCATGGCTGACATCCACTTTCAAAATTTCTGGATCATTTGTCAAGAAAAAGAAGACATCACATACTTCACACACCGCAGGTGCAAAGTTCAGACGATACGTGGTAATCGCATGCTCGGACTTATCAAACGCCCACTTGATGTGTAGACCAGCCTTCGAAGCACCACAAGAGACACCCCCTGCACCGCAGAAGCCATCACCAAATGTATACTTGCGATGTTTTTTCTGCACTCTGGCGTCTTCTTTCTCAATTTCGGTAAGATCAATGACATGGTCTGCATCCAGCACTATGACTGGAGATTGTGGTTGGGAATTAGCATCCGCACTACCAAACGGACGAGTTTCACCTCGCCATGACTGTCGTAATGACTTCGAATCAATCGCAAAGCCTTCGTCACATTCTTGGAATGACAAGTACTCTACTGCTGCCTGAGACGAATCAAGATTCTCCTTTAATCGACAGAACAGATCATTTGGCCGATTTTGTTTCTGAAGGTCTTGCTCAACATGGCAGCAGCTTGTGAAACGAATATTGACGAAGCGCTTGACGAAGCTCAGTGGGACATGTGTTGACTCATTAACGATCCAGACCAGTTCATTGGACCATTTGGGTATATAAGTTCCCTTGTGATTCCTCGTTCGGATCAGATGACGGCCTTGAAAGAAGATCTCTCCAGCACTATCTTGAAGAACAGTTGTGACTCTGAGATAAAGGCCATTGTGAAGTTCCAGGGAATGCCCCGCTTTGTAAACTATGCCGTCTACGCAAGCATGGTCAATTGGGCGCTTTTCCGATTCCGCGGCCTCTTGAATCGGCAGAGGTGCCGCCGCGGGTCCAGGTCGGCCCCAGTCTCGCAGAAGACGCTCAAAGCATTCATCGGTGAGATAATCGCCCTCTGTGACCAATAGCTCAGGGCCCGAGGTGAGGTCTATGATTTCTTGGTGAGTTTGGGGTCCTATGGGGAAAGGCGTTGGGGTTCGTCGCCTCCCTCCAGGGTGAGATTGTTCGTCATCAAGGAAAAACGACCGATCTGGGTCATTATCAACAGTCACACTGCTGTCAGTGTCGCTGTCGGTGTCACGGATGCCCGAATCATCACTGTCATCGACGTATATGGGCTCTGAAGGCTGTGGAAGCTCCTGGGAAGGGAGCGAATCATCTGTAGGGCGGTTCATGTCCACTAAAGCAGGTAGAACTGGACGATGATGGGAAGGCCTTTGAGCTATTTTGGTCTGCCAAAGGTTTCGTAGAAATGTAGTCAACTAGGAAATGCTGGGAAAGAGAAACTTGGGAGAGGAAGGGAATATAAGGAGCGTAAGAACTGAGAACTGGAAGATACGATGAGACCATGATGATCAGAATATTATGAAGGAGAGTAACACAAGCAGAAACTTTTGCAAAGAAGTGGAGCAATTCAGCCATGGAGATGTTCAACAAAGAGGCACCAAAGCATCAAGCAGTGAATCAATGAGCACCATTGTAAGTCCCATCAAAGGCTTATTCCTGGGCAGTCCTGTGGCTCTTCAGTCTGTTCACACTGAAACCTACTCAGAGAGTGAGCTGAGAGATAGCTAATCATACTTCATATACAGATCACCAGTAACTTGACTTAGCTACGTCTTATTAAGTAGATTGTATCCATCATACAAGGAGATATCACTCATTCAAAGTGTGTTGATACTGACGACAAATGAAGTATGTTTGTCCTGTTTGCGAACGGCAAATTGACAGCTTATGTCATCGCCAGTCTCGGTGCCTGAGGCTCCGAACCGGTGCCGAGCGTATCCTTTCATTTGTCCTTGGTTTAGCGGCACCCGCAAAAATTCTGTCTCCCACTGAGCGGTGGGGGAAGGAACCAGAACCACAGCAGAGAGGAATTAAAAGAATATGAGGGCTTCGTCTCGTCCCAGTTTTCCCCCTCTCTCCTAACTCTTCCTTCACCATGATATCTGATTGTTCAATATTCCCTTCGTGGGCTTTGCTTTGACCACCATCTTGACTCTAGTCACATTTCCAGTGGCTATTGTTATGTCTCAATAAGAGAGTCGTTCTCCAAAAACCACCCCCCCTGTCTTCGCCGACTTTTCCGGTCCTTTTTCTCGAACCTCCCGGTCTCTGTGCACGCGTGCCAGAATTTTGCCTCTAGATGTGAGTATCACTCGTGCCGTTTTCCTAATTTCGATGCATTACATTCCTTCCTTTTATGATGAATTTCGGTTTTTTTTATAGATGTTAGACTTCCTAAGCATCCTTGCGGAGAGTATCCGATCTGACTTTAAATTGCCTAATCTTGATTTGTCTTGCCGTTCAGTCTAATCTTCCAGGCTCAATGCTGATATCATGAATACTTCTAGAATACCCTTTCGTCAGCAAGATGTGTGGTATCATTGGTTTAATATTGGCGAACCCCAAGTCGTCCGCTGCCGTCGATCTTCACGAAGCGCTCTACCTTCTACAACGTGAGTATTCGGACGATAGTCAATGCCTTTCAAGGATCTAGACTAATGTTCAATTTGCAAATTACTAGATCGAGGACAAGATGCTGCGGGTATTGCAACGTGCGCGGCAGGTGGTCGTTTCTACCAGTTGAAGGCCAACGGTATGGCAGCCAAGGTTTTCAATGATGGTGCGAGAGTGGCGGACCTTCCAGGCTCTATGGGCATTGGACATCTGAGATACCCGACTGCTGGAAGCAGCGCGAATGCGGAGGCTCAACCCTTTTATGTGAACAGCCCCTATGGTATTTGCCTGGCCCATAACGGAAACCTCATCAATGCTCCCGAGTTGAAAAGATACTTGGATCTCGAGGCCCACCGTCACATCAACACCGATAGTGATAGTGAGCTGATGCTGAACATCTTTGCCGATGAGCTCAGCGAGACCAAGAAGGCGCGTGTGAACAAGGAAGATCTCTTTGCAAGCCTTAGCAGGATGTACGAGAGATGCCAGGGCGGCTGGGCTTGCACGGCGATGCTGGCAGGTGAGCATATTCATAACTCCCACAGTGATTTCCTGGACATCAATTGACAACCATGGCAGGGTTCGGTATCCTCGGTTTCCGTGACTCATACGGGATCCGTCCTCTGGTTCTTGGTTCCAGACCCTCCCTGGACGGCCCCGGCACGGATTACATGATGGCGTCCGAGTCAGTTGCCCTGCATCAGCTTGGATTCAGCAACTTCCGTGATATCCAGCCTGGTGAAGCCGTCATCATCGAGAAGGGTGGAGAGCCGGTCTTCCGTCAGGTGGCGCCGAAGAAGGCATATGCTCCCGATATTTTCGAGTATGTCTACTTCGCACGTCCCGACTCCGTCATCGACGGGATCAGCGTCTACCGGAGTCGTCAGCGCATGGG